GGGAAGGCAGTGAGAAGGAGAGTGAGAGAAACGTTAATGTGTGGTTGCCTCTCTTGTGGCCGCTACAGGGGGCCTGACCCTCAGCCCAGGCATGTGCCCTGCCTGGGAATAGAACCAGTGACCCTTTGGTTCCCAGGCCGGCACTCAGTCCACTGAGCCATGCCCGCCAGAGCCCAGAGAAGCCTTTCTTTACTTTAGGATTTTATTTCATTCAAACGGCAGGATTCTTTACAAAAGAGAGAGGGAGGGAGAGAGCACGCTGGAGCTTTCCCCCTACTGTACCAGTAAGTTAAGTACCCGAGGGCCTTTTTCTTCCCTCGCCCCGGGGGCGTACCTAGCACAGACAGAAAGTCCCCTGCCTGCCGCGTCTCAGCACCTGCTCGTCAGCTTCTGCAGACCGCCCTTCTCTTCCAAAGCCCAGCTCTGGTGTTCTGTGACCTTTATCGACCTTTCCCAGAGCGTTTAACTCACGTTCGTTCTCCCTCCTCCGTATTTTGTGCCTGTTCCCTCACATCTCTCTCTAGTTGTTTCACACAGCCGCCCTGTTTGTAGAGTTGAATCACATGGACTCTGTGTGGGTTATGTACTTGTTCAAACAGATTGAATTGCTTTTCTGAGGATTTCGTTTTCCTGTAAGTGTGCTTTCAGTTTAAGTAATCAAAGCACATTTGGATAAGTACTCTCGAGTACATTAAAATAACTTTGACTATGTTCCTAGTGTTCATCCTCGTAACCCTGGACATGGAAAGCTATCCCCCTTTTATTTGTGTCTGTATAAGAGAAAGAACAAGGGAGGGGAAGTGCTTTTAACATTTTATGCATAAGGAAACAAGGACACAGTAGAAGTAGAAAAATAAACATGACCTGCAGAGCTAGTTTCTGGCTCACATAAAAGAAGGAACTTAGACGTTGGGAAGGCCGGTTTGTCTACAGGAACCTTTTTCGTTTGGGCCCCAGGTGAGAACACGGAGTCAGGTGTGAAGGCAGAAATAAGTTACTGAAACTCGCAGGTGGTTAATATTAACTTCCTTTCTTTCATGAATAAACCATATCCTCTGGGACTCATGGGTGAAACTCAGCTTGCCACTAGACTGGGGGTGGACGAACTTTCTGGAGAGGCCAGACAGGAAACACTTGATGTCTTGCAGGACACACTAAGCGTCTCTGAAGTGGCTACTCCACCCTGTGGTTAGGAAAATGTGGTGTAGGACAGGGTCTCAAGGTCTGTGCAGCCCTAAAAGTTATTTCTTGCTAAATGTTAAAATGTAGCCTAGTATTTTGCAGATGCAGCTATAAGCAGGAAGCGGTGGCAGGAACTCAGTGGGATGCAAACACCCAAATGGGAGGAAGAAATCAACCCGTTACTGACCCGGCAGGGCAGGAGCTGCTGCTGAGCCTCCCTGTTGCAGAGGCGGAGCTTGGGGTAGGAGGCCCTTCTCCTTGACTTGCTGCCACTAAATAAAACCGCCTTTATCCCAACCACATCTTGTGTTTGGATAGGGGGCTCCAACCCCCATGCGTGGGGGATCCAAGTCAGCGAGAGACCCATAAGTGGGGTGTGGCTGTGTTCCCGTCTACCTCGCCTACAAAAACAAGTGGGTGCTGGAGCCGGCCTGCTGACTGCAGGCGGCCAGCCCCATTTCCAAGTCCAAGTGTCCAGGAAAGGAAGCCATGTCGACCGTGTCGTGAGGTCATTGTGGCATCGTGACTACTCGTAACGTTAACGCTGATCATCAGTCACATTACGAGTGAAGGGAAAGGCACATCTCTTGGGGCTGGGAGGCCAGATTCGTGGGGCTGGACCGCAGTTTCAGGGCCAGAAGGACCACCGGCCTCCCGCCTGGGCAGAGCGCCCCGCCCGCTCTCACGATCCACTCCTCACCCACGGACGCTCCGTCTTCTCCGCCCCTGGTGCCCACAGGGCAGTCTGCGGGCCGCGCTGGTTCACTTCGGAGTTGGAGGGCACCAAACTCCCGAACCTGGGGCCGGCAGCGCAGCTCAGGGAGCCCCGGACGGTGTCAACTTTCTAGGGAAGGTAGGAAAACCAGTGTGCTGCTTCTGCTCCTCGTCGGTGTTACCTGACAATGCACTGGGCAGGGTCATCCAGAGAACCAGAACCCACAGAACCCGTCGTCCCAGAGTGGGCCGGATCCTCGTGACGCATCCGCGCCAGCTCTGAGGACGTAACCCTCTTTCGGAGTAGAGATAAGGGTTCTGTAATCCACTGACCGCCCGCAGTGCGCACTGTTGTTGACTCTGGTACGGAACCATGAAACCAAATGCAAACCTCAGACAGACACCGGCAGTCACATGAGCCACTCGCCCCATGCGTCGGCAGTGACCAGGAGCGCCGTGGCTCTCTCGGGTTACCGACGGAGCATTAAAAATAGAAACACACTCCCCTATGTCTTTCAAATGCCGTCTCCTTTTTCATTGGAAAATAATCACTACCCTCCTGCACAGTCATAAGAACCGGCGCCTATACAGCATAGCTAGGTGTGACCCAGTGGGGCGTCAGGAATGGTGGAAATTACAGATGTTCTGAGCAGGGAGAGCAGATCTGGGGGGTCCCTGAAGAAGGGTACTTGAGTGGGGAGCATTGACCGGGGCTGGGCTGGGGGTCCGCTGTCATGGGGGTGGTCCTGGGGCTGTGGGAAGGGGTGGGCCCCCTTCATCTCCAGGTGCCAGGCCAGGCCTGTTGCCAAGGAAAACACCCCTCAGGACTCATTTCCTGCTCCGAGGGCCGACGACCGACCGCAGTCCACCCCCCAAGTGTGATTTGCTCATTGCAAGCCAGTTCTTATTTCCCAGGAGTCAGGCGGACGGCTTCCAAGCTGGGCCGCACCTTCAAGCCCCCTCCCTGGCCACCACCACAGTCGCCGCATAAAGAAGTCCCTTAGCTGGAGAGGTGTGGTTGCCAGGGCGCTTCCTTAGGAGGGATTAGACCCCCTTTTCAATGCCCCAATACTCCTGGGGCTTTGCCATCCCCTCGGGACAAAGAGACTCTTGTTTATTTCTAGAGATGATCTCAGGTGGCCTTAGTCACCTGGGGAAGCCTGGCCTGTTTGCTTAGGGGAGCCCCTCATACACTCAAGCGGGGACTCTGGTACCTGTGATGGAAGCCAGGTCTCCAGAGGTAGCTGACTGTACGTGTGCTCTCGCAGCGGGGAGGACACCGGCTTGGCACGCCTCTCCCTGGGGTGGGTGAGCGAACGAGGCACGCTGGGGAGACAGGCTGGGGGGGGGGGGTCACAGAAGTCCGCTGCTCTGGGTGCACAGAGCACAGGACGCTGCGGAGAGAGTTAAACTGTGAGTCACACGACAAGGCTGGCCTCGGGCAGCCGTGAAGCATGGTTTTCTTTAAATCATTAAACTTCGTTGAACTTAGTTCAAGAAAAAATTTTCCATCTGAACGCTTTTCTCCAGGCTTAAAGAGTTTCAAGATGAGATTCGTTTTCTTAAAGAGAAAATTTGTATCGAGAGCTTCCAAAGTAGACACATCTGCGGACTTAGAACACCCAAATGGTATCAAGTAATGGCTTTGGCCCAGCTCCTAGATCTGGGTGGCTGGGACAACACATGAGAGAGAGAGAGAGAGAGAGGGAGGGGGAGAGAGAGAGAGAGAGAGAGGGAGAGAGAGAGAGGGAGAGGGAGAGAGGGAGAGAGGGGGGGAGAGAGAGAGAGAGAGAGGGAGGGAGAGAGGGGGGGAGGGAGGGAGAGAGGGAGAGAGGGAGAGAGAGAGAGAGAAAGAGAGAGAGAGAGAGGGAGAGAGAGAAGAAGGAAAAATTTAAGGGGAGTTCTCAATCTCTCCTTGGCCTCTTGACAATAAATCTAAATGGCTGTGAACTTGAATCCCATGTTTGTTCCATCTTCTTGGGCATAACGTTTTTAATGCTACTCCCAAAGTGATAAAAATAGCAACATTTCAAGTGGATAGTTGGTAAAGATTAGCCAAAATTTCATGTGAACAATTATTCTGCAAAAATTAATGTCAAGACCAGAGTTGTGCGCAAACCCCAGGCTGCTTGCGGCGTCCAGCTTTGGAAAGGCGGGGCTTGTCGGCCAGGAAGGGAGAGGAAGCCCCCCCGCCCCCCCAGTCCCAGGACGACCAGAGCAGGACCAATGGTGACGTCACGGGGTGTGAGCCTGACCTCTCGGGAGCCTCTCCTGCGCTGATTCTGAGGTCAGTTCACGTACAGAAGAGTTTTTCTTTACTTCTTCTTCTTCTTCTTTTAACTATCCCACGACCAAAAGGGGTGAATTAGAATCGGTACCTACTCGGATTTTCTTTGCTTTTTTTCTGGGGGGATAGGCTGCGTCTTCTGTCTCCCTCTTTTAAAAAAAAATTCTCTCCTAAAGGTGATGACTTCTTGGTGAGGTTTTGGATGAGGCTCGGCATCCAGGCTCCGGATCTGCGATGGCGCAGCCAGGAAACCGAGGGCGCCCACTGCCCGCTGCTGCAGCTCGTGTCCCGGTCCCCCCCCCCCGCCCCGTCCCCCGTGGGACACAGGAGGGGCAGTCGGCCGCCCTCCTCCGTCCCGTCCTAGGTCTGTGCCTGCACGGCAGGGAGGGGCAGACACTTGAGGATGGGGAGGTCACGGAGGTGCGTGGCCCTGCGCACTCTTCATCCTACTCGGAGGTGCCTTTACCAACCGCCCTTCCCCAGTGTCCCGTTTGAGGAGCGGTGAGGTCGCCCACCTCCCTCTAAGCTCCAGCAGGGCGAGGCTGCAGGGTCACCTCCGCACAGTTCCTCCAGGTGGCAGGACCAGCAAGGAGGGGACCCCCGGCGGGGGCGTGGGTGCAGAGCAGGGAAGGAGACAAAGGAGGGGGTCGCCACGCCCCAGTGCCCCCCATCCAGTCGCCCCTCCCCCCATCTCCTGGCTCCGCCCACCACCGCCCGACTCGGGTCAGCACCCGCCCCGGAGTCCCCAACTCTAGCGCTCCCCCCACGGCTCACGCGGCCGCGCCCCCTCCCGCGTCCCCGCCCCGGCTGCTCCCCAGCCCCGCAGCCACCAGCCTGCTCGGCCGGCCACGGTGCGCCATGGGCAGTGGCAGCAGCCGAAGCAGCCGGGCCCTGAGGCGGCTGCGCGGCCCCGACAGCCGGCCGGCGGGGCCGGGCGGGGCAACCCCGGAGGGCGGGACTGGTGCCCGGGAGGAGGCCCCGGAGGCAGTGGGGGAGGCGGCTGGGGGCGCGGCGGGCACCGACCCTGGCCCCGGGGCGCCCCCCGACGGCCGGGATGAAACCCTGCGCCTGCTGGACCAGCTGCTGGCCGAGTCCGCGTCCTGGGGTCCGGGGGAGACAGCCCCGCCAGGCCCCACGCGGCCCCGACCTGCCGCGGGCGCGGGGAGCCGGGTGAGTGTCGCGCTCCGAGTGCGCCCCGCGTCCCCCCCACCCCAGCCACTTTCTCCTGCACCCTCCCAGGCCGGCAGGCGACATGCGTCCTCCCACCCCCTCTGGTCCCCACCGCTCTCCCTAGGCCTGCCTGCGCGGGTCACCCGTCACTCGCTGTCTTGCTGTCCACTCCCAATCCCTCCTTCCGAGCACCGCTCAGGTTCTCCCCCCACCGCCACCCTTTGCCTCGGCTGGTTTAACTGCCTCCATCTGGGGGTGACAGTGCCGGAAGCAGCCTCGAAGGGCAGGGGGCAGCCCCCCCCCCGCCCCTTGGCAGAAGCGCGTCTCCCGGGCTTTCTTCTGGCCAGAGCTCGCCTTTTTTTTTCCTCTTGGAGCTGCGTGACCACCCGCTAAGTGAGGCATTCCGGGCGCGAAGTGGCGCGGGGCGCCCGGGGACACTGGTGGAGGAGGCGCTGAGCGGCGGGACCGGTAGCCAAACAGCGGCTCAGGGATGCTCTGCGTGTAACTCGCCTCGCCGGCCAAGCCGTGCGCGCACTGCTCGCTGTTGTTAAGGGTCCGAGGAACCTCCTCTTGGCCCCCCTACTCTCTCTTCCAGAACACTTGTCACAACAGCCCTGCTGCTCTAGGAAAACAATGAGAGGAGCGCTCCGGGTTGGCACAGCCCTCACTCCCGCGGAGCTGGAGGAACGAGGCCTTTAGCAGCCGCTCCCGGGCTTGAGGAGGAAGCTGGAGGCGGCGGCCGGGCTGGACGCCACCGCGGGCGCTGCCTGGCCGCGGCGGACCTGAGCGCAGTGCCAGCCAGCAGCAGGACGCCGAACACGCCGAGTGATGAGGGCGGGGAGGGCTGGCCGACCCTGGACAGCGCAGGCCGCTCCCGCTCCTCCAGCTCCTCCCGCCCCAGCCCCGCGGCCCTCCCGGAGTGAGCTGCCGTTGAGCAGACCCAATTATATAACAGGATGCCTTTAAGGCTGCGTCAGCCCGCGGTTATGTAACACTGAACATGGATGAACGGTTGGGAGATTTGGAGGAATTCTGAGATGGCATGGAAACAGTATTTTTAGTGTTCAATGGGCAAGTGCTTTGGGAACTTTAGATGTTTAAGTGGGAAAACGGCCTTGGCTGGGCAGCTCTGTTGGTTGGAGCGTTGTGCCCAGCACCAGAAGGTTGCAGGTTCGATCCCCAGTCAGGGTGCATTTGGGAGGCAACTGACCCGTGTCTCTCTCTCCCTTCCTCCCTCTTTCTCTAAAAATCAATAAACAAACCCCCAGGTGAGCAATAAACATACCCCCAGGTGAGGATTGAAAGAAAAGAAAACGAGAAGATAGGTTCCCCCCAATCACTGAGTGTCCCAGAGGCTTGGGGTGCAGGGCAGCCTTACTCAACCTTTCAGTCACCTCTCCAGTGTGGTCCGAGGTCCCGCCGTGTGCCAGGCATCTTTGCCCTAGAGAAGCCCACCGTCCAGTGGGGGTGGCGGGGTGGGGGCAGGTCTGCAGGCAGAAAAGGAGCACAGTGTGGCCTGGGGTCCTCGCAGAGTCCACAGGAGGAGCAGCTGAGCCCCCGGAGAAGTCGGGACAGCATTCCAGAGGGACGGCGGTCGGCCTGAGTTGGGAAGGGCTGTGGCATCAGCGGGCAAACGAATGGAGACGAGCTTTTGGGCAGAGGGGACCCCGTGTGCAAGGGCGGTGGCGGCCGGGAACACCCGGGTGGATGCGGGCGTCAGCCGCTGTCCGTGCCAGAGGAGGCCAGCGGTGCAGCAGACTGGCACGGGGCCTTGCCGGATGCCAGGCCTCGGGGACTGCTGCCCAGCCCTGGGTGCAGGGTCGTTGTGGGGGGATGTGCAGAAACGAAGCACATGGGACACCGAGGCAGCGTGCATGGCCTAGAAGATGCTGGTGGACCCCAGGCCCACCTGGGTTCCCACAGGGTTGGGACCCGCCCTAGCCGGACTCTGGGGTGGAGGGTCCCGGTGCTTTGGCCGGGATGGAGGTTCGCCCACACCTCAGTACCAGGTGCCCGTCCCCTGTGAGGAGGGCACCTCCAGCCCAGCATCAGGTTCTAACTGGACTCTGCCTGCTGGCCACACCCACACCCCTTTCATTTCCGGACACTTGGAGACCCAGGGATGGCTGCACCCAGGGAACCTTAGCAACCACCAGGGCTGCCTTCTCACTCACACTGGAGGTGTTTGGGCCAGCACGCCTGCTGCCCAACCCCCCGGCGGGCCCAGGAGCCACGCGGGGGCACCTGCCCATGGGAGCAGGCTGGGTCAGGGGGACACCAGGGTGGGGACACGCCGTCCAGTGAACTACTCAGGAAGTGTCTGCTGAGCGGAGGTTCGGGAGCATTATGTGTGGCTGTATGTAAACATGCTTTCTAAAGGGATAAAACTCCGCACAAGTGGAGTTGATTGCCCTTTTCCTCCAATCCCGCCCACTTCAGTTCCTCCAGGTCTCCTTGACCTTCTTTCTCCTTGGAAACACTTTCCTGGAGGCCAGACCTTGTGAGGGGAGGTGGAGGACCTCGGACTGGTGGTCTCAGGGTCAGAGGCTCCTTTTGAACAAGTCCTGTGTCGTTTTGGTCACGTAGAACAGCTCTCCTGCGGTTGCCCGCAGCTTTTGCCGCCTGGGAGGCCCTTTAGCACGGAGGGCAGCGCCCTCTGGTGGTGAGAGGGTCGACCTAATCGGACAAAGAGCAACTGGCGAGGCTGGGAGCCGGGATCCATTGCCGTGTTCCCTGCTGCGTGTGGTCTTCAGAGAAGGGAACTACTGTCCCAGGCCACGTGGGTGGGCCCCAGGACCCTGGTGCCGAGTGAAAGAAGCCAGACAGGAGGGTGTGCGCTGTGCGGTTCCAGTACCAGGCTTCTTGAGCGTGCCCGTGAACGGGTAGCAGGCCCGCGGCTGCCCAGAGTGGGAGGGGCGGAGGGAGGGGCCGCCGAAGCACCGTTGGGGTCTTGGTTGTGGTGGTGGGTGCACTGGTGTATCTACACGTCAGAACCTACCGAACTGTGCCCTTCAAACACCTGCGGCTTGTTCCGTGTGCTTATGGACGTGGGCAGCACGGGGTGGGGCAAAAGGAGTTTACGGTTGTGAGTACACGCAACACCAGTTAATTCTGGTGTTACTGTTTATTCATCGTGTTATTCCCCATACCACCACCTGTACACCTGCTTCTGCCCCGCCCTGTATGTTCCCATGGAGCTGCTAGGAGCTGAGGGGACCCTGGCCAGGAAGCTCAGGTGGAGTATCATCCCCATGCACCAAGGTTGCAGGTTCGATCCCGGTCAGGGCGCATGCAGGAATGAACCAATGAGTGTGCAGATAAGTGGAACAGCAAATCGTTGTTTCTCTCCCTCCTCCTCTCTCTAAAATCAGTAAATAAAAAGCTTTAAAAAGGAGCTAAGGAGAGAACTCTTTAGAAGAAGCAGAATATAATACATTTTGCTAAGCAAGATGTGTAGTGGGTTTTCTAAAAATTAACTGTTGATATTTTACTCTTCTAACAAAAACCCTATTTGTAAGAGTCAGAGGAGGCTCTCGGAGATCATCATACGCAAATCCTTCTCCCGTTTTCTGCGTCTCGTCCAGCTGCGGTGTGGATTCTCGGAGCCTGGGTAGGATCTCCAGTGCGAACACGCCCTGCCGGGCCCAGACCCTCGGGCCTCCCGGAGCTCCCTCTGGTTCCCATGGCTTCAGCCCAGGCCCCGCCCTCCTTGGAGTCCAGATGTCTGACCCGCAGGCGGCGGGTGGCCAGCTGGCTGGTGGCGGAAACTCGGGTCTGCGCCAGACCTGGAGCGGCCACCAGGGGCTGCTGTGTCTCTGCCTTTCGTCTGAGCTCCCGTTGCTGCTTCTGCCAGCTGAATTTCTGGGCAGGCATCTCACCCGTTTCCCATGGGAGGCGGTCAATTCAAGGCTTAAACAGATGGATGAGAGGGGACCACACGTGCACGTCCCAGGCACAGAAAGAAACGTGACCCCGGATCAGCTGTAACAAGGACACTACTGGGGAGAGAGCACGACCTACCTTTCAGACGCAGCTTCCGGGTGTGCGGTTGGCAGAGGTGACAGTGCCATGTCGTGCCTGCCCCGAGAGGCCAGCGGGGTGTCCCCATTAGCAGGAGGCAGCATGGCCTAGAGAGGTGGATCCTGGGCTGTCTGTGCAGCTGCGTGACCAGCTTCCCCCCGCCCCCCTGCCCCCCGTTGCCCTCCTGGCGGGAGAAACCGTATCTGTAACGACCCTTCCGAAATCTGGCCGTGGCAGCAAAAGCCACCCCAGGTGGCAGCAGAGGCTGGTTCCAGCAGCAACGGCGGGAGGGAGCTGGGCTCCCTGCAGGATGACTCCATCAGAAGTAGCTGAAGGGTGGCTGGGGAGAAGTATCGTTTTCTTCTCCGTGGCCCCCGAGGAAAGAGCCACTGAGGCCCCGTGAGGGCGGCTGCAGGGAGGCAGGGTGGCGTGGGCACAGGGGCGAACTGGCGGAGACCCCAGGAAACGTCTCCGACGGGCTATGTGCGCCCAGCGGCCTAGGCGCGCCTGTCACAACGCCTGTGGCGGAAGCATCCCCAGTGTCCGTCCATCCATGGACGGGTACACGAAATGGATACAGGAAATGGATGAGGAAAATAGGACACAAGCTCAGTGAGCTGCCACCTCCCACCGTCATCAATAAGAATGGCTGTCATCAATAAGCCAGCAGACCAGCGCTGGTGAGGACGTGGAGAAGAGGGAGCCCTCGGCCTCTGTTGGGGGGAGGGCGGGTTGGGGCAGCCTCTGTGGAAAGCGGTGTGGAGGTTCCTCAAAAAATTAAATGGGGAACTGCTTTATGACCCAGAGATTCCACTTCTGGGTGTATGCCCACGGACACCCGAAGCACTGGTGTGGAAGAACACACGCACCCTGTGGTCACTGCAGCATCGTTTACCGCAGCCAAGCTCCGGAAGCCGCCCGTGTGCCCACCGACAGACCAGTGGGTAAAACACTGGTGGCCCTTACAGACGGTGGAATATTACTCAGCCGTAAAAAAGAACCAGATCTTACTATTCGCAACAGCACGGGTGGACCTACAGGGTACTATGCTAAGCGAAATAAGTCGGAGAAAGAGAAAGACAGTTTCACGTATGTGTGGAATCTAAAGAACAAAATAAACGTCACACAAACAGACTCACGGACACGGAGAGCAGATCGATGGTTGCCCGGGTGGGGGCTGGGTCGGGGGGCGGGGTGAGGACGGTGAAGGGGTGGAGAAGAGCACATTGGCAGTCACGGGGGGGTCGCGGGGATGTGAAGTGCAGCACGGGGCACACAGCCAGTAACGCTGTGAAGACCGAGTGTGGGGGCGGGCGGGGGCTGGAAATACCCGGGGGACACTCGGCCAACCATGTGATGGTCTGACTGCTACGCTGTACACCCGAAACTAGCGCAAAATTATACTGAACGCAAATGGCGACTGAAAAATATAAATAAATTTTTAAAAGAAAAATGTGAAGCCCTGGCTGGCATAGCTCAGTGGATTGAGCGCGGGCTGCGAACCAAAGCGTCGCAGGTTCGATTCCCAGTCAGGGCACGTGCCTGGGTTGCAGGCCATGACCCCCAGCAACCGCACATGGATGTTTCTCTCTCTCTCTTTCTCCCTCCCTTCCCTCTCTAAAAATAAAGTGATAAAATCTTTAAAAAAAGAAGAAAGAAAAGCATGGTGCCGTCGTCCCTCAGTATCCACAGAGGATCGGTTTTAAGGCCCATGTGGGTACCAGAATCCTCCGGTGCTCAAGTTCCGTATTTAAAACGATGTGCTGTTTGCATGTAACTGCGCGCGACTTCCTGTGTACTTTAAATCGGCTCTAGACGCTGATCACAGCATAAATGCCGTGTCAGGAGTTGTTACACCGTGTTGCTTAGAGAACAGTGACAGGAAGACAGTCTGTAGGTGTCTGTAGAGACACGGCCATGGCAGGGTTGATTACATAGTGCAGGTCAGCAACAACGTGGTTGGTATTTTTTCTGACTATTTCTGAGTCCTGGTGGGTTGGATCCGTGGGTGCGGAACCTGCGGACACGGAGGGCGGGGCGCATGCACATGCAGTGGAATACTGTTCCGTCCTGGGTGGACGCGGCGGCCCCTCCGTCAGCAGAAAGCCGGAGTAATCGGAGGCTCCCCATCCGTAACCTCTGATGATGCCTCTTCCTTCTGTCCTTCTCAAGGTGTCCCCGAAACAGAGTGCTGAAGGCCACCCTGAGGGCAGCGGCAGCTCTGAGTAAGTACCGGGAACCCCATCTCCTGGCAGATGCCCCGGGCGCTTCTGTTGGTGCCCAGACCCTTGCAGCCCCCATTCTCCCAGGGTCTCAGCTCTTAGTTCCTAAGGCAGCTCCCCATTGAAATGCTAAGCTCTCCCTCTCAGGGGCAGGGCCCAGCCCTGGGGGGTGCAGAGACCTCGCAGGCTCCAGCAGCTTTGACCTTCCTCCTGGAAAAGGCCGTGACCCTGATTGCATCCCCTCAGATCCCAGCCTCCCTCAGTGGGACGCCTCCTGGGCCTTCCGGAGTTTGCTGCCCCGAGGGGTGACAGGTGGCCCCTCTAAGCCCCTGACAGACAGGCTTATCCGGAGGACACATTTCAGACCCCTGGGCGAGTCAGCTGAGGACCCCAGGCCGGGACCCCAGGCTTCCTGCACGGCCCTGAGTCACAAGGTTTCCCGGATGCCAGCAGCCAGCAGCCAGCAGTAGGCCCGGCTGGCCGGGGTGAGCGGCTGGGACGACCTTGGACAGCAGGCCCACCCCCACGCTGTCTTTCTTGTTTCTAGTGAGGGGATGGTGACCTGCCCGACCCCCCCACCCCCCGTCACTGGGATGCTGGCGGTTGTAGTGCTCAGAACCGGGGATGTGGGAAGTCGTGAGAACTCTGGCTTCACAGATCTCTTCATTACCATCCCAAATGTTGTCTGGGCAAGGCCCTGGCCGGATTCCCTTCCTTAGCGAACCTTTGGGAGGTCCTGCCCGGAAGAGTGAGGGTTTGGTGGGGCAGGCCGGGGGCTCAGGGCAGTGAGCGGGGATGGAGGCAGCCAGGGCTCCGGGGGGGCCTGGCGTCAAAATGGCCTATGGGACCCTTAGGAGTTCGTGGTCCCCGGGGAGGAGCACCCCTACGGGGGTACCGAGGAAACTAGGCTGCACGCAGCTGGTGGCGGTTAGCGCAGGGTGAGTGGGAGGGAATGGAAGGAGGGACACTGAAACGTGAGGAGGGCCGGCCTTGCCTGCCGCACCAAAACCCCGGCCGTGGCTGTCCAGTAGGAGAAGGCCGTGGCCTTGGGACACCACCGTGACCGCAGAGGGCGATGCGGTGAGAACATCTGCTACGTGGGTGGGCTCTGACCCCTCACACCGGCAGCCGAGGTCGGCACAGCTGCGCATCCTGGTTCTCACTCATTAACACAAACAGGCCCCGGGCTCCTCCATGCAGGCCAGGCCCCTGAGCGACTGTGGGAAGTCGTGTCTCCCCAGAGAGGCTGTTTTTGCTCCTGCCGGGCGGTCCTCGGACCCGGCACGGATACCCTGGGGAGCCTGCCTGATCCCCGACGCGGCCAGGAGACCCTGTTGCCCTCGAGGGTCCGGCCGGTGCCTCCCCGCCATTCTGAATTCCCCTGGCCAACCACAGGGAGCCCCAAGGCCGGTGGGGGGAAGGGGGGTCGGGGCAGGAGGACTAGGCAGGAACATTGGCAGGGCCCTGCCCCCGTCCCAGGGGCTTTGCTGTGGGAAACTTTCTGCCCAGGGCTTCCCGGTGCCGAGCCCCGTGCCCGAGCAGGGCAGTCAGCGCCCCGTGTGACCTTCAGGTCGGCTTGTGGACAGGCCCCATCCCGTCCCCGGCCCCCAGCACCCCAGCAGTGGCTCCCCTGACACCGCCCACCCCTGACACCGCCCGCCCCAGGGGTGCGGGTGCGGGGAGCCCGGCAGACGCCGCGGCGCCACAGCTCATACTCGCCGCCCCGTGGTGCTGTCCATACATGGTCTCGTTCCTGCCTCCGGAGGCGCCTAGGAATGCAGCTGTTTTCGGAGAAGGAATTGTCCCCGAGCTAGTACGTGGTGGGGCCGGGATTTGAACTGGGCCCTCCCTGCCTCGGGGCCCTCGCCCTTCCCGGCAGGCAGGGCCTGGGCAGATAAGGCCGGAATGCCGCCGGAGGACAGGAATGCGGCCTGCTCCGGCCGGAGACCAGGAAGGTGTCCCCAGGGCACAGCGAGCTCGGAATTCTGCAGAGGGGCCTGGCGGTGGTCCGGCAGAGACGCTGCGTGGGAAGGCGGCATCTTGCCTCCTGACACCCTGTCTGTGTTTCTGGCTGGCAGGGCCCCTGGCAGCAGCCACAGGAGGCCGGAGAGGCAGTCGGCCATCGTGTACGACGGCTCCGAGGAGGAGCTGATGGCCAGCATCGAGCAGGAGTACTGCCGCTGACCCGCCCGGCCGGGCCGCCAGCATCCCCCGCCCTGCCCGCCCCGGCTGGAGCTGAGCCGCCGCTGCCCTGCAGCCTCTCACGGGCCCTGCACCCCGGCCCTCTCCAGCCCGCACCCGGGCGGCCCTGGCCACCGTGCCTGCTGTGCAGACCCAGGCCAGAAGGACGCGCAGGTGCTGCCCCCCGAGTGTGTGGGCTGGTGACCCCGACACCTGCCCTCTCTCAGCTTTAGGGGGGCCTGTCTATGAGGTTCTGCTGGAGCCCGACGGCTTCTCCTTTCCCGCCCCCACTCTCCACCTGGGCTGGGGGAGGCCCCTGAGCTGGCCGGGGCCTAGGCCTGGCGCCTTGGGGCCTCTCACGGCGCTTCAGGCAGGCCCACCGCGAGGGTGTGCTGGGAGGCGGCCCGGCCTGGCCGGAGGGGGCCGCCCGGAGTGCCAACGCAGGTGAACCTCCTGGAGATGTGTCCACACGCAGGCTCCGACTCTGTGGGTCTGCAGGGGCCTCGGGTCTGCATTTCCGACCGGCTCCCAGGCGAGGCCCACGCGGCTGGCTCCCAGCCACAGCTGGGCGGCGAGGAGCGGGCGCAGCTTCAGGCCGCTGCCCGTGCTGGAGGCTCCCGGGGACAGCCCTGCGCCGCCGGCTCTGACCCTCCGCTCACACTCATCGGCAGTCACCCTCCCTCCCTGGGCCTCAGTTTCCCTCTCTGGCAAATGGGTCCTGCAGGCTCTGTCCTGCTCCGAGGACCTGGGATCACCGGGTCCCGGGCTCCCTTGCTTGCCCTTATTCCCACCCTACGAGCAGAGGACTGTCCCCCTGCTGAGGGCGCTCATCTTCCCCCCGACCCCCCGAAGGCTCTTCGGGGCCCCCTGCTCTCACCCGCCAATGCCCAGGGAAGGCAGACAGTCACAGCGGTGAGACAGCCTGGGGGGGGTCCCAGTGGACGACTGGCTCAGGGTGCCCGCAGGCAGACCGGGAGGCGGGCCTTCCGTGGGGGCCCAGGTGTGGCCGCTCTGGGCAGTGCAGGGAGAGGAGGGGCCCAGGGGCTGGGAGAAGCCCCCCCCAGAGTGGCCGGGGAGGGTGTCGGCACACAGAGGCCACAGCCGAGGTGCTGAAGCCGGAACAGGCCCCACCCAGCTCGTCTCGCCACCAACACGACGGCCTCCGGGCGTCGCCTGCGAAGTGCGAGAGCATCTGGGAAATGGACCAGGGCCCCTCGGCACCGGCCCCAGACCCACAGGCCTGCTGCCGCCACGGGGGTTTCCATGAACGCCCCTCACTGGACCACAGTGCCTTGGACCAGAGGCCCCGCAGCCGCGGGATCTTATCTCTGCAGTCAGGACAGAGCCCCGGGAGGCGTGGCTCAGGGGCCCCCCAAAACAAGAGCTGCTTCCCACCCAAACCCAAACCCTCCCTTTTTGTGGAACGATTAAAGCCATTACTGTTCTAGTAATACAAACGCTTCTCTGAAAGAGGAGTGAACATTTTGTTTCCCACAACCAGACAGAGCAGGCCTTGGATTTCGCGATAAAAATGTTTACAGTGTCACACCCTCATGTTGTTCCAACGGAACGTGTCCAGCTGGTTTTCCCAGAGAAAGACGATGTCCCCGCGTCATCCAGTGAAACCCTCACGAGACCCTCGGTGGGGAAGAAGGGCTGAGAGCGGAAATCCCTCGCAGTGGCGGCCCCGTCGATGCTCGTCCAAGCCGAGGAGGCACGGCGGGTGTCTCCGGCCGGTCTGTTCATCCTTCCTCTTCCCTGAAACGGCCTTCTGAGCAGCACCCAGCCAGACGAAGCCCAGGGCGCCCGCCCCCTGGTTCCGTGCGGGTGAGAGGAGGGTGCTGAGCGCAGGGGAGGGTGCTGGTCGGGGAGGGGGCGGCCCCGGGGTGCCGCACACGCAGGGCCGGCGCAGAGCCCCACTGCGGGCCAGGCGCGGCCTCGGGCCCTTCTCGGCGGCGCGGCGCTGTGAGCCTTCCGCCCCGGAGCTGCGTGTGCAATCTGCTCGTGGACGGGGAGGGGCTCGGCTGGAACACAGACGAGGAGAAAACGTCTCAAAGCCAAACGTGGCGACAACCCACGTTACTGTCTGGCATGGAAGCACCACACGCGTGTCTTCTGGTTTCCGTGCCGCGTGCGTTCCTGAGAGTTCAGGAAACACGCCCCCTCCAGCTCTGAGCCACGCTCGGCCGGCTCCCTCGGGGACGGGGACGGGCCCCCGGGGCCGCCTTCCCGTCCTCGGGCCTCTGCTCCTGGCCCGGCTCCATCTCCCTGCCCCTCACTGAGGGGGGCTTTTCTGAGTCACCGGCCGCCCTTTGATGCTCCAAAGCCTTGGTGCCCCGTGACCCTGGCTGTGCGGAGACCGCTGTGCGCGCCCCCGGGGAGCTTCTGTTCAGAGCTCCCTCATCCCCCACTGCCCTGCGCCTGGCCAGGTGCTGGGTGCAGGGCGACGCCTGGTGCCCGCCGGTGAGGGCGGGCTGCTCTCGCGGCACGGGCACACCCTAGGCGTGTGCTCACCTGGAGAAGGTAAAGGCCGCCAGAGACTTGAGGCCAAAGCCCACCCAGGGTCTCACCTGTGTGGGCGCGGGGTGGGGCTCTTCCGCTCTGCTGTAATGAGCCGGGAGAAAGCCTGCGTGGCTGCCGCCAGGAGGCTAAGTCGCATCGGGGGTCGCGAGGGTCCGTGCCCCCGGCAGGGAGAAGCACTGTACTGTCAGACGTGGTGCCGCCCACACGCCAGGGACACGTCTGACCTTGACGGGTGTGTACGGCTCGGTTTCCCAGTGCCGTGAAACCCGTTAGTGTCCAGTGTTGGGGAAAGGAAAGGCCACCTCTTCCGTGGGCTGTGGACCCGGGAGGAAGTGACGCTTGGAGGGAGCGATGGACGCCCCGTGGAGCTAGTCGGGGGTATGGCCACCCCTGAGACCCAGCGAGCACGGGGTTTCGTGTGGCGCTGATGGCCCAGGGCTGTCCGTCCGAGATCCAGGCTCCTCCAAGGTCAGGGGCCCGGGGCAGCCGTCAGCGGCAGTGCCACTTGGCAGCGAGAATCACGGCGGTGTCGGCTGGGACCCCGGGCTCCCTCCCCGGGGAGCAGCAGCTGTAGAAACTCCTGCTCGGGCTCAACGAGGCCTGAGCGGTTTCAGACGACCCGCAGGAGGAAGGGGAGAAACTGCGGGGTGGGGGCGGGGGCTGGCCTCCCACTGAGCAGCGGGCGGCACAGGATTTGGGTGAAAACTGTAACAGTCGGAACTGAGCGGCACCTTGCGTTGGTGAAGCACAGTTGACGGAAACATTCTTCTCTGACACACGGACCCGCGAGGACTTGAAGGGGAACCGCACGGGTCCAGGCTCCGTGCTGGGCGCGGCCTGGAGGTTAGCGACCAGAGGCCTGGTGGTGGGGGCAGAGGGAAGCAGGGATGAGGGGCGGGGAGTCACGCTGCCTGAGACCCTGCAGGCCCCGCCCACCCTCCCAGGAGGCTCCTCTGCGGCAGGGGTCACCGGAGGTGGGCTGTCTGGAGAGCCTGGGGGAGGCAGGAGGCTGGGACTCCAGACTCGGCCTCACTCTCCTGCGTGGGGTCTCGGGGTCTCCGCTTCTCCATGGGCTCAGGGGGCGGGCACAGAGACCTCGTCCTCCTGCAGCGTGGACCACTGTGAGGCCGGCACGACAGCGGCCAGCTGGGTGCTCTGTCACCGCGAGGCCCATACAAGAAAGAGGTGGGGCCCTGGCCGTGGGGAGGGGGACCCTGTTGGGCACCTCCCTTAGGCAGGGGAGCTGGCCCGTGCCACAGGAGGCCTGCTGGGCCTGGGGCGTGGGGTCCAGTCTCCCAAGAAGCCCAACTCCCCTCAGGGATCACCCCCCCCCCCACCCAGAGTATGAATGCAGACCCCTGGCTTTGAGCCCCACCCCACCAGCTAGCAGGAATTCTGCATTTTTCCGATGGGCTCCACATCAGAGGTATTTCCACGATTTCTGGCCACCTGCCCCGGGGGCTGATGCTCAATTGCACCCCCTTGCGGCCAGGCCTGTGCGTGAACTCCGTGGCATCCAGGGCCCCAGCAGCCCCCAAGGCCGGGATCCCACGCTCTGTGGGGGCCCAGGGCCGTGTGTGGCCGTAACTGAGCTCCTCTCGGTGGCGTTTCAGTAGGGGTGTCCCTCAGCAACACCACCTGGGCCCCTCGTGTCACTGCTCTCTCAGCTCCCACAGGCAGAGCCACCAGCCCCGGGCTCACACCCTGAGCCAGGTGGGTGGGCCTGGGGTCAGGGACCCGTGCACAGTGAGTCCCAGGGCCAGCCGATGCCCTGTCCCACCCTCTGGGCTGGAAACTGCAGTGGCACCTCACAGCAGCCGTCTCCCCAGTCCTCGTTCCATAAACAAGGAAAACAGTTCGGTCTGGATGAGGGGTGGGGAGACGGATGGACGGACGGAAGGACGGGTGGGTGGGTGAGTGGGTGGGGGTAGCTGTGATACAACCCCTGTCACGGGGACCTTACCTGTCAGCAGGGGGAGCAGACTTGCAGTAACGTTCGGTGACACCCGGCAAGTTCTCAGGAGCGGTCAGAACCTGCAGGGGTGAGGGGTCCGGAGCGGCGGCCCCAGGGAGGCCCCCCGGAAGCTGCCTGCAGGGCTGGGCGAGCGCCGAGGGGGCCGTGCGCACCCTCAGCCACCGCTGCTTTGTGCTGTCATGCCGTTGGGCGCGAGCGCCTCCTCCCGGCACCCAGCTGCGGCATCTCGTCCCGTCCTCAGCACCCACCTCTGGCGGGTTTGCCCGCCGGGCTCAGCAGGAGCGCACCCGGGACCGGAGGTCCGCTTCAGGGCCGGCTGGGGTTCGCTGGGGCTCGAGGGGAGCGGGGGAGGCCTCTGGGAGTGAGCCCCCGACTCCGGGGGTACCGAGTGCATCTCTCCCCTCGGGGTGAGGAGTTCCTGGGGCCTGGCTTCCACCCAGGACGGGGCCCAGCTGTTAGAAAAGTGTCTCAAGTTCTCATCTCGAAAGTCCCCAAAGAGGTGGGTTGAGAGCAAGGGACAGTGGCGTTAGAGCCAGACAGCAGACCTTCGGTGACAACACCGGGAAGACGACAGGCACCAGGTCACAAGCTGCGTGACAAACTTGGGGCTGTCACCCAGAAGCAAAGGGATTAAGGGTTGGAGCGGGGAAAGCCTCCAGGTGGACGGCTGGGTGCAGAGTCCATCCTGATCACCTGCTGCCCCCTCCCCAACCTGCTCACATGCACATATGTGATCCCTCACTGCCCCTCCCCCACCTGCTCACACACACACACACACACACACACTCACTGCCCCTCCCCACACGATCATTTACTGCCCCCTGCACGCATACACACACACGCACACACACAGGGTCAGGAGCAGCGTGACCCATGCATCAACGTTCAGCTCTTTCCACCGTCACACCCCAGGACGGGCGGCTTTGGAAGGCAGTGTCAACAGACTGAGTGGTGTCGAGCGAGGCGGCCAGGGTGACTCTAAGCCTTTACACCTGGACTTGCTGTTCTTTTTAAAGACAGTAAGGCTGCCATGGCCGGGCGGGTCACTGGGTTGGAGCACCGTCCACGCACCAAAAGGCTGCGGGTTCGATTCCCCATCCGGGCACACACCTAGGTTGCAGGTTTGATCCCCGGTCAGGGTACATACGGGAGGCAGCGAGTAGATGTTTCTCTCTCACATGGATGTTTCTCTTGTAAACCCACAAGCATACGTAACATTTCAAGGCAATGGGGTCGACCGTGGGAAAGTCAGGCATGGGGAGGTGAGGAGCTTGGCCATTTGGACAGACAGGAGGAGGACTGAGAACCGAACCCACATGTGTCTGAGAGCGTCCTCAGCGGCCCCTTCCGAGGGACGCGGGTGCGAAGTCCCAGCCTGAGTGGGTTCCAGAGAGCACACCCCCCAAAGCAGGAGTGGAGCCCAGGCCGGGGGTGGAGGGCACGGGGCAAGAGGCTTCCTCCCATCCCCCCGCCCCACAGCACAGGAAGGGCTCAAGGAGGAGGAGGAGGAGGGACACGGGGTCCCCAGCCCCCGCGGCCCTATTCTGCTGGGGCCAGACCCAGCGTCAGAGCAGCCAATACAGAAGCTGCCTCTTCCCACGTTTCTTTCCACCTTCCCCAGAATCTAGAAGGCGCCCCGAGGGCAGAGCAGACCCAGAAAACGCAGAGGAGGGTGAGGCTGGGCCAACCCCCCCGGGACGTGGTGGGGCATTTTCGGAGAAGCCACTGGGCGTCCTCAATCTGTGGCACAGACGACACGGGACACAAGTCCAATTTGCAGATCAGGAACGTTTTATGCGATTCAAAGAAAAAAGTTACATCACACACATCCATCTGGACAAGAAGTCAAAGTCTGTTACAGAAAACATGATTCCGAAACAGTTGGCATTTTATTACTGAAACTATCTGACAGGCTCGGAGTCAACAAGGATCGAGCAAAACTGCTCGGGAAGTAAAGTGCACGGGGGAGCCCGGCGCCACCCCGACAACGCCGGTAGCCCCCCCACCCCCACCCCAGGGCATCGGCACAGGATGGGCCGCAGGGCTCCGGTCCTCGGGACAGAACCCCCCAGACAAAACCGTCTCCCGACCCCCCATCTTTCAGTGGACACACACAGAAGGCAAATAAAGAAAAAAAAAAAGTCTGTTTACAGAAGGCATGTCTAAGTCTAATCAGGAGATGAAAGTGAACATGAAAACCATTTTGAACACATCTGCTCTGCACCAACGCCACTGAGACAATGAAATTCAGGGCGAGCAGCGACCCGACACTCAGAGGCCTTGTATTATGCACATGAGGACAACCACCGTTGTTTTGTGTAATTAGGAAGAACACCCCAGTGCGACGGCATGCACACAGAAACGCTTACGCAGCTTTACAACCCGAGTGGGAGACGGACAGGACAGGGCGGCCAGGAGACTCGAGCTGCCTACGTCTGGGGACTGTTCTCCTGCACACTGATCTCTGATTCCCTCGCGTTTGGTCTCGACCAGGAGGAATGCTAGACCGAGGACGTGTCCACAGCACGTGGGAGCCCCTCCCCCCACACCTGTGTGCAAAGTGCAACGCGGTGCTTGGGTGGGAAGTCCCCCAGCCAATGCGGCTGCTGCCCTTTCTCTGAGGCGCTGCTCCACCCACCACACACTGCGGAGGAGGCCACAGGACGAGAAGTCAGTGACAACTGACAGAGCAGCTGGGCTGGCCCGCTGACCTCACCCCTTTTTGGTGTTGGAGGTACAACAGGAAACACTCCGCGCCTGGAGAGGCGCCTGCTTCTGGGGGTGGGGTGGGGGGGGCTGCCTGTTGTGAGTGGTTGTAAGTCGCCCTCTGGGCGCGTCCTCCACAAGTCGAACCTCGGACACAGGCAACTAGTTCTACCAAACCTTGAGATCCTGGGCCAGGGCCGCAAAGGCGTGGCCGCTGGACACCCCTTGGGAGTGTTACAAAGAAGCCGACTGCCAAGTCCCCCCACCCCCCACCAGTGCCGATTCTAAACAATTAACTGCAATCTGAAAGGTCTGATTACAAACTTGAGATTTTTTTTTTTTTTGGCTGATGTACCACGGTCACTACAAAGTAGGGCTATTACAAAAATGATATTAAACATGGAAAAGAAGACTGTAAAATCATCTTGTCTAGAAATTGGTGGAGTACCAACAATATAAATATTTTCATAGAAAACAGTATAAAGTTATATATACCCTGTCTCATTTCTACAAAACACGAATAGGAAAGGCAGTAAAAACCCAGGTGCTGTGAAATTTATTGCCGAAACGCTTGTCGGAATGCTGGTGAGCCAGACCGTCGAATTGCCTTCCGTCTAAACTACAAAAGCCATGGGGTGGGACCCCAACTGGAGGCCAGCCGCCGCCGTGCTCCGGCCGGAACCAGCCCCTGCTCCTCCCCGGCCCCCAGACGAGGATTCCGGGAGAGAGGACCCACACGGGTCCTTTCCTGGAAAGAGTCTGTGAGATTCCCCCGGGGGACCCCGGCCGACCGTTCAGGCTCCCCCGCCGCACCGCCGCGCCGCGCCTGCTAGCCGGGGGTCTTCTTGGTGGCCACGTGGCGCCGGGCGTGCTTGGTCAGGTGGTCGCTGCGCATGAAGCGCCGCTCGCACACGGGGCACGCGAACTTCTTCTCCCCGGTGTGCGTCCGGCGGTGCCGAGACAGCTCGTCGGAGCGTGCGAACTTGCGGTCGCAGCCGTCCCAGCTGCAGCGGAACGGCTTCTCTCCTGGCCACGGGGAAACACACGGTAAAGAGAACGTGAGCGCTCAGCCCCCGCTGCGCGGGCCAACCCGCCTCACCTTTAACCCCTGTGCACCCCCAAGTCCAGGGCAGAAGGAGCGCCCTGGGTCTCCCATGGCAAGGTATTCGGAAGTCAAGAAATCCTCCAAGATCCGTGTGTCCTGCCAACGCCTAATGTGTAACATTATGGGACAAGATGTAAGACATGATGTTTGCCTTTCAAAAGACAAACACGTCTTTAAACAAAAATAAACTCTGCGGTAGGGGGAAGATTCTTGAAAAGAGTTAAGTACCTCTCTCTCAAGAAGCGGCCCACCTAAACCCATCCCTGCCAGGACCTGTGAGACTTCTTGGAATCGTTCACTCCATCTTCGAGTTCGTCACTACACCTGGCAGGTGAGCCCAGGAGCCCCTGCTGGCTGGTTGGCACAGCCCCGCCCCGACAGCGGGGCGGCTCTCCTCCCACGGGGCCAGGTCCCCGCGACCCGCACTGCCGGTCTGGTCCGCCCATCCTCCTGCGGCTTCCCCAGGCACAGCACTTCTTGCGGCACGCGGCAGATGCGCGGTTCTGAATGGATGTGTGCTGGAGAGATGCCGACTAGGTATCTGATGTTTTCAAAACGGAATCAACTGCGAAACTCAGCACCACACTGCTCTTTAAAAAACCATTCGAAGAAAAAGGGTCGAAGCTTCACGGGTTTCGCAGACCCGTGGGGCGGCATCAGGATGCCCACCTGCTCCCCCAGCAGCCCGCCACCCCTGGCGGCGGCACACCGGTGCGGCCAGGGACCGGGCAGGGACAAACTGCCCTCTGGCATGGGATTTACTGTATAAAGTGCCCTGTTTTTAATATGTCAAAAATGTAGCTTTTGCTCATTCCACCTTAGTCAAAAAAATCTCAGGTTGTGTAGAAACAAAAAAAACTATCTCATCGAAGGCAAAATTACTGAAAGTTTCTATCTTATGAAAACTCCAATTAAGTATTTATGAACTAGCACGAGAAGCTGCCTCTTCAGAACCTCTGTGGTTACTGAACGGAGGTGTGCGGGGGAACCTGGAGACAGCCTGCTCTGATGCCCTGGTTTTGCGCCCGCCTGTCAGCATTTCCGCCGACGCGCCAGGCTGAACAGGGCCCCTCTCCCCACTGCCGCCCCGCCCGTGGGCAGCAGGCGTGGACAGGGTCGGAGGGCTCAGTGGACAGAACCCCCCCCCAGCCAGCAAGCCCTTCACGGGCGCCCTCTCCACTCGGACGCGCTGTGACCGTGGCCCCAAGACCCCAGTGGACCAACCGCCTCTCACCAGCGTTGGGCTCCTGAGTTGGACCCGAGAGTTTATGCTCAGTCAGACCGCTAGAGTACGCGGGGAACCGAAAACCGAAGAAGAAAGGGGCAGGAAGTGGAGCACACACCCCTAGGGTCACGGAGGCAGGCGCGCTCAGGAAGCACATGTGGGCGGTGACGGCGGGAAGGCCCTTCAAGGGGTTCCCGCCAGGAGAGGGGGGCGGAGGGTGGAGGGCAGACTTGCGGAGCTGGAGAGACAAGGCAGAGGCAGAGCCCAGGGCCCCGCGGCCAGGTGTGGCGCCCTGACTGGCAGGGAGCCCCCTCCGCAGGTGGGGGGGGGAGCCGAGCGCCCTTCGTCATGCCTGCCAGTTCCAGACTCGGCTCCCTCTGCAGGCAGAGCGGCGCCCCCTCCCGCACCCAGGTGCCAGCGAGAAACCAGCCCACCTCAGCCCCCTGGTTCAGCCCTCCTGACCCTGCACCCCACAGCGCACTGCGGGCCCCGAGCCAGGAGCTCGGGCGGAGCGACTGCGTGACCGAGAGCGCTTACGGGACAGAGCTCCACTGCAGAGCCTGGGGCCTGCCCCTGCGCTTACGTGTGTGTGTTTGTGCGAACCCTGGAAGGCGAGTGTAAATAACAAGCAGACTGCTCAACCACAGGACCCCGCGGGACGGAACTACCTCAAAGACAGAGGGCGCCACAGGACACCTTGGGTGTGTGGCCACATCGGCAGCTCTGCCAGGCCACCCTCAGCCCGACGGCCACGCGGCTGTGTGCGTGTCAGCTGGGTGACAATGTGAAATGTGGAGCCTTTGTCACACGACCCCCTGCCCACGTGCCTGGGGCTAGTGGCTACCCCAGTGGACAGAGAGAAAATTCTATCAAGCACAGCCAATGGGATGATAAAGACGTCGCTGAGTTTTTACAGCTCCTCTCTGGGGTGACTTCTCCTCCTCCTCCTTGTGGGAATCAGTCCATGGCACTTCAAACATCCTAGAACTCAAACTTTCCCGCACTTCGGAGAGACCTCACCCCGCAGTGAACCCGAGTCACTCCTCGGGTTTAGTGTTTAAATGGCCTGCGTGTTCTCTAAAATGCAAACAGGTGTCCACTGCCAAGCGGGCAGAAAGGGCCATGCATGCGCCGCCCACGACCGCAGAGCCACACGGCAGGCGGGGCGGGCAGGTGCCGCGCTCCCGAAACACCGCCAGTGGCTGTGTTGACATAGCCCCCCCCACCCCCCCACCCCCCGCAAGGGTTCTCGGAACCACCTCCTCCAGCAGGTTCACGCTCCCCTTCCGCTCAGAGCAGGTTCAAGGTGAGCTTCCCAGGGCCCCACCCGCCTCCGTGCTTACCTGTGTGAGTGCGGAGATGAGCCTTGAGGTGGGAACTTTTGAAGTAGGTTTTCCGGCAGCCTGGAAAGTTGCAAATGTAGTTCCTCCTTCGGAAAAAGTCTACCTGAGGGGCGCAGCTGTGGCTGGAGGTGATGAACACAGGGGCGGGGGCGAGAGGCAACAACCTGGTATTGCCGGCGGCCAGGACCCCAGCCGGGGAGCCCGGTGCAGGCTGGGGGAGCGCCCCCTGGGGCAGGACCAGCATCACGGCTCCCGGGGGCACGGACGGTCCCACGAACACGGGCTGGGGCCCTGGAGCAGCGGGGGGCAGGATGGGTGCGACCGTCCCGGTGGGTGCTTGGGGAGGCGGCTTCAAAAACGCTGGTAACATGCCACTCTGTCCGGTCACAGGGATCATCTGGCAAAGGACAGGGGTGCTGGGGATAGGGACAGAAATCAGAGGGGTGGCTTTCCCTGGCAAGTCATTTTCATGAATCTTTGGTGAGCAGGTTTGAACTGCAACTGGCCAGCCTGCCTGCTGGCCTTTGTTAGGGGAGATGAGGTCGCCAGACTTATTCAAGCAAGGCGGACAGGACCCTGAGCTCACACTGGGTAAACTGTCTCTGAGGTGGGCACCCTGCAAAGCTCCAGTAAGTCCCACACGCCGTGCGTCTCCCGCTCTGTTGTCGGAAAGCTGGCGTGCTTGAGTCTCGATGGTAGGAACGTGGGCAGCAGCAGGGGGCGCCGTGGTCACCACAGCCCTGCAGGGGGTGCGGGGGGCCGGCTCCCCCAGCTCTGACTTCGCAGCAGGCAGGCTCCTCCCCTCCCTCCTGTCCTGCAAGCGGGCTGCCCCAGCACAGGCTGTGGGGGTGGCCGTGACCACGTGTGCTTTGGGGTCGGTGACTTGGGAAGGAACCACTGTCCCCGTCGATGGCTCCATGAGATCAGGGCTATGAGGAGGAGTCATGCACTTGGAAAAAAAAAAGAGCACTGGGTGAAAAAGTTGCTTCGGTTCGATTTTAAAAGGCATTACTTGGATGGCGCTGCCCCCAACGCCTTTAGAAAGAAGTATCTACAAAGGCCTGGTCTAAGCCCACTTGCAACAGCAAGGGACTGCGAGGCTGCACGGGCATTTACTTTCTAGTCTTTCCCCTCGACTGGGGCTGCGCAGTCACCGAAAGGAGCAGCGTGAGCATTAGGACTGCAGAGGAGAAAACAAGTTTATACTTAAAATGAGAGCTTTTCCCAATTGTTGTAGACTCTCAAGGAATTTTTTAAAATCCCAGTGGTAATCATGTAACACACACCTAGCCAGCGCCTACTACATGAGGCCAGGTACCCCTACCGGAAGGACCCCCAAAGGCCAGCGGTCTGCCTAGACCGAGCCTCTCCGTACCGCCCCCAACAACCCCCACCTACTGCGGCCTCCCCGGGCAGCCTGATGCCAGGTGGCTCTGAGAGGGGCTCCGGCGGCCAGGCCGGTGCTTTACAGCCCTCTCGGCTGCCTACGCGTCCCTTCTCATCCCTCTCCAAGTGGCTGTCCACACTCCCCTTCCAGTGCAAGCTTCCAACCCAGGACAATCTGATTATGATTTTCACTTCTGTTAGCCACCGACAGCTTGCAACTTCTCCAGGCTGAGGAGCCGTCTCTCCCAGCGATTTCTTAACTGTAACAAGTTAGGAAAACAAAACACGGCCCTGCTCGACTGCAGCCAACTCACACAAGTAGGAAGCTGGCTGCCACGGGGAGGCAGAGAGGCCAGCATTTCCACCAGCCAGCTCTGGGCGTCGGGTGCCAAAGCACAGACTTGGCCCGGCTGCCACCCGCATGTCCCGATCCTGGGAGCAGTCGTCCGGGGAACCTAGTCCCCACCCTGCCATTCTCCAGAGAAATGAGCACAATTTTTCTTTCCTGAATCAGCCTGTAGGTTTTGTCCTCTGGACATTTTAACCCCGTGGCTGCAAACTGTCACTGATCGATGGGAAGGACTGGTTTCCAAGAGATAAAAGAGGCTGCATCCTCAGGGTCTCTACGTGGGGAGGCTGTGAACACGCCTGCCAGCATCCCGGGGAGTCCACCCGCGAGTTTCCTGGCACACCTGGAGAAGGTGCGCTAGCCACTGCACAAAAACACCCCTCCCCCTCCTCTTACCAGCGTGGACAGAGAATGGAAGTCCTTCAGCAGCTCGGGTGTACCTTCGTCTACATGCACGGAGGAGGCGACATCCCCAGAGTCAGACACAGGTGTGAGGGGCCTTATCTTTAATGGGTCACCCTTCTGGGACCTGTGCCCCCAGGAGCTCATGCAGACGAGAGCCTCGACAGCTTCGATGTCGTTCTGTTCCAAGGTGCTGCAGGTGGACCTTTCGCTGTCCTGCCACTTCCTCTCCAGGATGGACTCACAGATGTCCACGATGTCAACCTACGGGTGACATAGTGGCTTCTCAGTCCAGGGGAAACAGGCATGTGGACGCGCCTATCAGGAGCCTGTGTCACACGCAAAACACATACACAACACTCCACACACGACAAGCTCTGCTCTAGGAAAAGATGGCAACAGGACATTCATGACAATTTTGCTTTTAGGCTGTCACCCTACAGAGGGAAGGAAGATGACTGAGTATGACTGCAAGTCGTTTCCACAGAAAATCCTGATTCTTAAAAAGGTTGTAAGAGTGATATCTATCTTCTTCTTTGGTAAACGATTAGTAAGACATTAATTCCAAAGGTGTAAGCCCAAACTGCCCCGCCCACCTCCGGAGGAACCAATGCAGACTCCACCTAAGGCCTCTGATTGGTTGAGGTGAGCGCGCAGCTCTTTCTCGCTCTTTGGGGTTGGCCAAGCCTCTGGGAGAGAGTCCCTACTGATGCATTTTGGGCAACTTCCGGAGCAGTGCCTACAGCCCTGCCAGTCAGGGCCTACCCAGCAGGGTCTGGGGGGTGGGAATGTCACGGGCCCCAGCAAAGTAAAGCCTTGTCCCTCAGTCTCAGGAACGTAAGTCACTTCCTCGTGCCACCAGGTCCCTGGGGGGAGGGGGGAAGTAAGAGGAAGCATTTGTGTGTTCTCCCAAGACCTAGGAGACGCTGTCTCCCCCGGTGTCACACCGGCTCTCCACAGGCAAGGAAGCACCCAGAAGTGAGTGCTCTCTTCCCAAAGTCACTTCAAGTTCATAAAGATACACATTTCCACTTAGTGTGCCCGGGTATCGCACCTTCTGTCCTGCTCAGGTTCCCCGCAGGGCACACAGGTAATGAGGCCGCCTTTATAAATGTCACTCTAACCCAGCTTCGACCTGGTCCTAGCACAAACTGTGAAGTCACAGACATGGGGGCTGGCCCTGCTCTGGCGCCACGCGCAGAAACAGACCAGGACGCACAGCTCCCAAACCCCTCCCTCCTCCCCTTAGCAGCCCGCACGCCGCGACCACCCAGTGCCAGTTCTAGCCAGAGTTCTCCCCGCACCCCTCGAGCTGCGACTGCAGGAGCCCTGGCTGGGGCGAAAGGCGCTCAGCACGCCCTGCCACGTGCCGCCTTCCCGCCAGCCTCTGCAGGGCCGCCCCGCAGGCCGCGTTCCCACAGCCCGGGCCCCCGCCGCCAGCGCCCCGCCCCGGCGGCCCGCAAGCCGCGTTCCCGCCAGCCTTTCCCCGCCCAGTGGTCACCACCTCCCAGGGTCTGGTGACGTCATGGCCTAGAAATAGACCCGCGCCCGCAGCCGCCTGGGCGGCGCCGCTGCGGGGGAGGGAGACAAAGCTGCGGTAGGGTTCCGCTGAGCCCACGCCCCCGCCTAGCCCCCGCGGCCGCTACCCCTCCTGGCTCTGGAACCTGTCCAGGCACCTAACGGTGCGACTGTGGCGAGGCCCCGCACCCCCGTGCCCTCCTTTGCGCTCTGGCCCCGCAAAGGCGGCGCGGCCCCGCTTCGCCCCTCGCTCCGGGGGGTGGCCACTTACCGCGCGCGCCTCGCCGGAACCCACGGAGCCCGGCGTGTGCATGGTGCCGGCGGCCCACAGGCAACAAAGCGGCGGGGCGGATGCTCAGAGCACTGCAGCTGCTGCACGTGCGTGGCGGAGGCAGCCCGCGATCCGACCTCCAGCGGCCGGCACGCGCCTCCACCAGCCCGCGCAGCTCTACTTTGACGCGGCCGTAGCGGTGCGGGAGGGGCGGGGCGGCCGCCGTGGGCGCGGCCGCCGAGGCGGGGCTCGGAGGCAAACCAAAATACACCGCGCCCCTCCGGGGCGGAGCCAGGTGCCCGCCAGCCAATGCGCGCCCGATCCAAGCACAGCGGGCCAATGGGCGCGGGGGGGAGCCGCGTGATCAAAGCCTGGCCGCGGCGTGATGCACCAGGGCGGGATGCGGCACGTGTTTTGGTCAGGGCGAAGGGGCGGGGCCTGAGGTCTTGGAAAGTAGGGGAAAGGTCCCGGCAGCCGCGAGGCGGCGCGGGCTGCGCTGGCGGCGCGGGCGGCACTGCTGTAGCCTGGGAAGTCCCGAGTCCTGGACGCGCTGGCTGGGGCGGTGACCGCGCTTAAAGGGGCCGCCTCCCGCAGCTTTCCGGGCTGCGCGCCCCGGTGGACTGAATAAGCCACCTAGAGGCCTCCGCCCGGGTATTGCTCGTTTGTGTTGTTTTTATTTTTTTTCGTTTTTATTCATCTACTGTTAGCTCTTAGGAGCACATCACTGACCAGGACGAGCTTTGAAAGCCTGCTGGCTCCAGCTGACTTTCCGGTGTCTGCTTCCTCCTGAAAGTACCCAGGGCGGGAGTTCCCAGGCAGTGTCTGCCTCCCACACCCCTTTGGGCCGCAGTGGCCACTCTTACGTGAGGTTAAGGCTCAGCCAAGACAGGTAATCACCTGAAAAATGCCTAGTGAAACCCGCTCTTTCTTCCCAGCCGCGGAGGAAGCGACACCCTTGCTGGGAAGTCCTCGGGCCTGAATGGGAGAGATACCCAGAGCGCCTTTCTTCCCCTCAAACTGAGAAGGAAACGGGTGGGGCCCAGGGCTCTGGCTGCAGCTCACTCCTCATAGGCCATTTCCCTTTGCTCAGGTCCTCCACTGCACCGTTGATGACCCATAACTTTTGTTTCTTTAGTTATTTGTGAATTGGCTCCCCACCGGAAGGAACCCTCCCACCCTTAGGGAGCTTGTTTAATTCCCTGCCGCCAACCCCCAGGGCCTGGCTCACTGCGGGCACGCAGTAACTGTTGGGTGAATGAGTGAGTGCAGGTGAGCACCTGCTGGGTCCCCCCACTTGGCTGTCCTGCAGACACCTCCAGTGCAGCATCCTTGAATCTGAACTCGTTCTATCGGAACCTGGTGTTCTCGCCTCCAGCTACCCAAATCCGAGGGTCATCTTTGACTCCTCCCTTCCCTGTGCTTGCTGTCTTCTGCCAATCACTTCATGGCTTTCTTCCTAACTATCGCTCAAACTATTAACTGCTGTCACCCACTCCTGCCTCCGTCCAGGCTGCCATCCTCTCTCACCTGTATTATCGCCATTGCCTCCCAGCAGGTCTGCCTACCTCCAGCCCCACCACCTGCGATTTGCCCCTTATCTCACTGCCAGAATCGTCTTCTGAAAGCAGAGATGGCACCGAACCCATGTTGGAGCCCTCCATCGGAATCCAGGCCGCGCTGGGGCTGGGCCCGGGGCTGGGGCTGGGGCTGGGGCTGACCCTGGCCGCCTGGGCAGGAATCCCCTACTCTGCATCTCCAGACCCCAGGCAGTGCTTCCTGCCGGCTTCCCACCTGGTGCTCCAAGGGCAGAACCCTGCGCCCCGGCGTTCCCTCTGTGCAGGACGCCCGGACCCTTCTCCACTCTGAGTCTGAGAGACCGCAGTGCGGCTTCTCCCAAGCAGCAGGGCCACTCAGCAGAATGCCAAGCACAGGACTTGGGAGTCAGACCTCGATCCAAATCCCAGCTCAGCCTCGGTGGCCAAGTCAAGGCTGGCTGTGTCTCATTCCTGAGGAGAAGGAGGGGGCAGCCGCTCCCCAGGAGTCTGACGCCCAAGCTCCTCTCCCTTCGGCAGCAGTACCTGGAAGCTCGGGCAGCAGGCTGGCTCAGGGCTCTTCAGGCATAAAGCTCGGTTCTTCTCATGTGACAGACAAACAGACAGACAGGTCTTCACTCATGCTGGTCCCTCCTCCATTCTCCCCCATGTCTACCCAGAAACCACTTTTCCATGAAGCCTTTCTACATACACGCACACACACGCATGACAGGCTGTGGTTGCTGCCAAACCCTGGCTCCTGGTCCTGCCTGCAGTCAGAGGGGTACTGACAGGTCTCTAAACTAAAGTCAGTGGTAGGTTATTCACACAGAGGCATTCCCGAGGCCCTTAGCAGCTGCAGGCACCACGGCCCTGCAGCCTGAGCAAGGCCTGGCAGGCAGGCTGGGCACAGATGCAGACTGTCCCCTATGCGAGGTGCATGCCACCAGCTAGACGGCCACCGCTGTCTCGTGCGTTCTTCCAGAGAGAGTCTGCATGCCTGCAAACGCACCGTAGCACACAGGGTAGTGTTCTGCGCACCTTCAGAACCTTGCTCACTTTCTATGTAACAGCTTGGTGGCTGTCACATGTCAGAAGGCAAACATGAGCCTCATGCTCGGTCATGGTTAAATGGCATTCCACTATGCGGATACATGGATGGGTCATGGTTTATCCAGCCATCCCTGCTCACATCACCCGGGGGGTTCGGCTGTTTTCACCTTGCAGGACATCGAGCCCACACGTGTTTCTCTGCATGCGAGGATAACCACAGGTCACTTCCTAGAGCTGGGGTTGCTGGGATTGCTGAGTGACCAGCCCCCCAGATCAAGAAACCGCATGGGCCTAATCCGGGGAACTCCCTCCGTGATGGCCTCCCACGGACGTCCTCGCACCACACGTCCCTTTCCCGTGGGTTGAAATGTGCACAAAGAGAGCGGCCGGCACAACCCCTTCTCCTGTGGGGCTGCCACACTGTTGCACTGCAGCCGGAATTCATTTGCCCCCCTTACTGCGCCGGCCCGCTCCGCACTGCAGGCCGCCAGAGCTGTTTCCAGTCTGGGGCCGTGATGGGCGACGCGCTGTGAGAGTTCTGACACACAGCTGTGTGTGCTTCTGGTTTAGAAAGATTGTCAGATGGCCCTGCGGACGTGCCTTTGTGCCCGTTCGTCACGTGGCCACGGGCTGCGGCGCCAGGGCCCTGTTCCTCACTAACGCGGGCCTTCCTCGAGCGTCTGACCTTCAGTAAGCTAAGTGGAAAACAGAATTCGTAATGTTATTTTGTATTTCTTTTTTGAAAAAGATTTTCTTTATCTCTAGAGGGGAAAGGAGGAAGTGAGAGAGGGGGAGAAACATCGCTTGGTCGCCTCTCACATGCCCCCAACGAGGGGCCCCGGCCCCAACCCAGGCATGTGCCCCGACTAGGAATCCAACCTTGCAGTCGGCAGGACCACGCCAACCCACTGCGCCACCCCAGCCAGGGTTTATTTTGTATTTCTTGGGTGGAGTTTACGTGAGAATTTTCACATGGGTTTCAAAAGCCATCTTGATTTCTTTCTCCGTGAACTTTGGAAGGAATTTTAAATGGCAGTACAGAAACTCGAGCATGTTTACATACGGAGGGGACGGGGTCAGTGGAGAAGAATGACCCTAGGGGGTGTGCGTGCCGGAGGAAGGACCTGCTTTCCCGGAGAAGGGTGCGGGGGGAGGGAAGTGAAGGCGCCTGCGGATCCAGGAAGTTCTGGGATAGCAGAGAAGGCCAGGGTGCTTGCGTGTGCCCGCCTGACTGGTGACCTGGAGGCCAAGCCATCTGCTGGGGAGGGCCCGGTGAGGTGGGGAGGGCTTGGAATGGACTAAGACCGAGACAAGTGAAGGGCTCTGGCAGGGAGGGTGACAGCGACAGCCCCTGCCCTGAGGCCCCACTCAGAATGGTGGTCCTGGAGGAAGCATTGAGTTTTTGTCCCTGCTCCTGAGAGCGCCGGGCCCCCGGGGCGGGTCTCCCTGTCACCGCTGAGCCCCAGTTTTCTGGGCTGCAAAAACGGGAGTTGGCCTGGCTCAGCGATTCGCATCTGTCCTGAACTGCGGTCAGTTTCTTTCCATGGCTTTGCTTGGAGAAAAACGAGGACAGTGAGTGCATTTTGTCACGGAGCTGAGTACAATCTGAGGACTAGCATTCATGCAGTTTATAGCCTCCTTTTTTTTATTTGTTAGAAAAAGATGCGGCCGGCAGATGGTACCGAAGGCCCTAGCAGGAAAATGAAACATGGGCAACCCTATGGCAGACCCAAAGTTTGTTCTGAAGCGTTGTGGTCAGTGGGATGACCGAGTCTGGGACCCCCAGGACCAGGCGGTTCGGGAGATCTGCTCCATCTCTGGTAGCCAGGTTCTACAAGGGCGGTCTTTCCACGTCGAACTTGAAGGAGCTGACTTCACGCCCGGTCAGAGCAGAGGGCTGGTGCTGACCCCACTCCGCCTTGAGCCTGGCAGCTGCTCGCCTTGGGGCGGGGGGGACTCCTTTCCCCGCCAGACCCTCCACCCCCTCCTGGGCGCAGACAGGCCGGCCCAGACCGTGGTCAGAGCCCAGCCGTGTAGCCAAGAGGAACAGAGGGAGGCAGGGGGCCGCCCACCCCGCTGCCCCACTGCCCCTGCCTGCCAGGCTGGGCGGGAGGGCCGGGGAGCTCACACTTGGGAGGGGGAGCAGGCTGCCCGCCCGGCCTGGGTCCAGCCCATCCTTCCTGCCTTTCTCTTTCTCCCTGGGTTGAGCTCACTGGGCCGGAAGCTGCACCAGGGCCAGACGGGCGGTCCAAATGACCTAATCAATGATTGCCTAGTGGCTGGATTAATGAATCACCGACCCACTGGTCCCCCAGCTATGCAGTGATTGATCTGTCAACTGCCCAGTGGTTGGCATCCGTCACTCCTAACACGCCAGGGCTCCGGTCTCCTCCCCTGGGGCACTAGGGGAGGGGAGCAGAGGGGTTGTAGGGGCACACGCACAGCAAGCGGCTCGCTTTACAGATGGGACAGTGAGGCCCAGTGAGTGTGCACGGAGTCGGGGCTCAGGAGAGAAAAAACGACGACCCCCCCCTCCCCGGACAGGTTTAAGTCACAAAGGCGGCTCAGCTCACAAGGCACTTGTTAAACACCGAACGTGGCCCCGGAGGTGTGCGAGGTGTGAGCTCTTCATCCCTTTCTTATCCTGATTTCCAGCCCCATTTCACAGATGGAGAAACTGAGGGTGGCCTGCCCATCGTCACTGGCTCGTGCTGGTGGAGCAGGATCCGTCTCCCCAGCTCAAGTCCAGGGCTCCTTTGTCCCCACTGTCTTCTGGAGAAGGGCGCTGAGAGCCCCCGTGAGTCCCTCCCTGCGAGTCCCTCCCTGTGAGTCCCTCCCTGTGAGTCCCTCCCTATGAGTCCCCGTGAGTGTGCCGGGATGGTGGGGGCGGGGTGGGGCCGCTCCTGTGCCTCCAGGCCGGGGAGGGGGTAGGCAGGAGGCATTGCTTTGTTCCTGCTGTTGCCCCTCAGCCACCGGCACCCCCACCCCAGGGCTCCCTGGTGGCTGCTGTGCTCTGCGTCTCGCTGTGTGTCTACAGGCCAGGGCGCAACCTCTCTGTGTGTTGGGTCTTCAAACCTTCGTGGAGGGGGAACTGGGCGGAGTCTGTAGTCCAGGCCCCAGATGCAGGGGAGGGGGGCTGCCTCCGTTTTTGCTAACAGAGAGCCCCAGGATGGGGCTGTGGGCATAGGGGGCCCCTGGAGGCTTCTCTGAGGGGACCAGTGCTTGGCAGGACAACTTGCGATGCGTGGGGAGGAGAGCCCTACTATGTGCTCGGTGCCATGGGACCATGGAGAAATAAGCCCAACCCCGGCCTTCAGGGCAGACCCACCAGCGAGGGGATGTGCTCACTCACAGCAGGGGCCGGCGGCCGGCGCGGGGGCAGGGCCGCGCAGGAGACCAGCGCGCCCTGCGGGCAGGCCTGGTGGGAGGCCGGTCCGGCCGGGTTTCCACAGGAGACGGCACCGCAGCGGGCGGGAAGGGACAAGGAGGGGGTGGCCATCCGGAGACTGGAGATGACCCGTCAGTGTCGACGACACACCGCCCCACCTCTGCGTGTGCCGTGGGCGCCCGAGAGATGGCAATGCGCCCCGGGAAGGGCCCGGCAGCATCCCGGACTCGGGCAGCCGCTGCCGCCCTGAGGGCGTGAGAAAACACTGCCGGCCACCCGAGAGCTGGACACCCGTGGAGTCGGCGAATTCTGCGTTTCCAGCAAGTTCCCAGGTGCTGTTGACGCCTAGGGTCCAGGGACGCTGCCGTGAACATGGCTGATCTAGTCTAACCCCGGGCGGGGTGCAGGGCACGGGCCCAGGAACAGAAGCACCTCGTCCAAGTCTCCCTCTGCGTGTGAGCCCAGAACCGCCGGAACCCACGCCCCCGACGGGACGCCCAGCTCAGTGCCCCCACCCCGTCACGAGGCCCCCGGACGGACGCCCCAGGGCCCCGTCGTGAAGCCAGCCCAGAAGCAAGCTTTCAGACGCCAGGGAGGCTGCCCAGGCCGGGGAGGGCCACCTTCCAAGTGTCCCTGTGGCCTCCTGGCCCCTCCGCCTGGCCGAACCGCCTGCAGCTGGAGAGCTGCCCGCCCGGCTTCCCCAGTGACCCAGTGCGGCCGGAGCCAGCCCGGCCGGGCAGCGGGGCCAGCTGGGCAGCTGCTCAAGTCCGCGGCGGAGAGGCCAGCGGAGACGGGTCTCCCGGGGAGCTTGGGTGGGCCCAGCAGAGGCAGGAGCCTGGGTCTGTCGGCAGCCTGCTCCCCGCCTCCTGGGGGCGCATGCTGGCCGGTCCCCTGCCTCGGCCCCAGAAGTGGGTGTTAACCCCTCGAAGGTGCCAGCCCCCAGCTCCGTGCTGAGCCCCGCAGGGCCAGGCGGGGCTGCCCAGCTTTACCCCGAACAGTGTGAGTGTGCAGTTACGCGGACGGTAGCCGCGTGAAGTAAACAAAAAGTCAGTCCTGTCGGCCACCGTTCGTCCTGCACGGCGCGGCGGGCGCTGCTGACACGCATGTTTTCCCGTGATCTCCGTGAATCTCTGCATCGACCGTGCCTTGCGGGTATCACTGGGGACAGGGTGGGCGTGAGAACAAATTATACAGCTGTGGGGGGTGGTGACAACTCACTCAGCCCCAGGGCCCCCCCCCCCCGCTGCCGGCTGCCCCCCCATCCTCCCCACCCCCGCCCCTCTCCCCGAAAGCAGCGGGTTTGGGCCACCAGGCACGGGTGTCCTGGACAACCAGGGGCTTTGTATTCCCAGGTTAGACCCTTAACCGAGGTTTGTGAGGCTGGTCCCATTGAAGATTCACGTACTTTATACAATAATTTAAATGAAGTGTCATATTACCGTTGCAAAAGCAGTGTCATCGTAGAAAAGAGAAATGCAGAAAAGTACATACGAAGAAAGTAAAATTTCCTCCTCTCCCCCTCCCCCTCTCTCCCTTCAGCACCCCCTCCTCTCGCTTTTTTTCCCTCTCTCACCCCGAGGAGAAGAAAGTGCAAGTCTTCCCCGCTCCCACCTCCCTGCCCAGGCAGGGAGCCCCGCCAGACTTTGCCCTGTGTGTGCTCACACCCATGTGCATGCCCACACGCACACACACGCACACTGGGTTTGGCTTCGTTTGGGTGTGTGTGTAATGCCGTCCGTGCCACACGCAGGGTGCTCTATCCACCCTGGGGGCCCCGGCCCAGGCCCCTCGAGGACAGCCCTGGCCCATGAGTCTTACGGACCCTCCTCGAACCCCCCCCACACCCCGGGTCCTCAGTTTCCTCAGCTCCAAAATGGGAGTGACAGGACCCCCCTCGCCGAGCTGTTTGAAGAATTAGAGACAGCATTCCGCAGCTCGTGGCTGGGCCATCGACTGAGTCCCACCTGGACCAGGGGTGGGTTTTTTTTGTTTTGTTTTGTTTGGCTGAACTAGATCCAGTTTTCCCCTCACGTCAGCCCGAGAGAGTATGTGTGGATTTTTGTTTATGCCCCCCTGGGGGTGGGGAGGGAACAGCTGGGACCTCCCACTGCAGGACTGCAGCGACAGGCCCGGATGTGACCTTGACCCCTGGCGGGGCAGGGGCCAGAGTCCCACAGGCAAGGGGGTGGCCGCCCACCACTCTGGTGTGTGGAAGCACAGTTTGCAGGGCCCGGCTGGGTGGGCCCCGGGAGCATTTTCGGACGCACTCCCACTGGCCGGCCAGAGGGCCAGCGCTCGGCTTGGAGGCCATTCGAGCTCCCAGCCGTCTGGCTTCCTGGCTCCCCTGACAAAGCTCTGGGTGGAGGGGGAAGGGAGGGAACGAGAGTGTCACAGGCCCAAGCTCCTTGTCCCGCCGGGGCCTGCTGAGGGCTGTCTGGTACCTGGGGAGCAGGATGCCCTCACCCTCCCCAGCCCACGGGTGGGCCTCCCACCGCTTCCTCTGCAGAGGGACACACCCAGGCTGTGCCTCAGGGGCCAGTGGGGAGTGCAGGGAGCGGTCACGGGGAGGCAGGCTTCCCTTCCGGGCTCGGAAAGGACTTGTCAGCGTGGAGCTGGCAGGGTGCCGACCAAGCAGCCCAGGGGCTCTCACCAGCCTCTGCCTTCCGGCGGGTGCCCTGGGGGCCGGACCGGGGGCTGAGGCTGGGGCTGGGGCCGGGTGCCTGGAGGCCCAGCTCACATGCGGCTGCCACTCCTTGTTTGGAGGACAAGAGAGGGTTCAGTGACCCCACCCCCACCCAGAAAGTGGACATGCTCTTCATTCATTCCCTCAAGGGCAGCCAGCCCTGAGCGGGTCCCAGGGATCCTGAGACAGCCAGCTTTTACCCCGAGTACACAGTCTCGGGAAGAAAGGGGACACAGAGGTGACCAGGCAGTGGGGACAGGCCAAAACTTCAAACTGTGGGGAGCCAGAACCTCAAGGTAAGCAGGTATTTCAACTGAGGACCAGAACGCTCTCTCCTGGCCATGCTGGAGCGCAGCCTCAAAGAGGAAAGGAGGAAGGAGGAGAGAGGTAAGTGAGTGAGTGTGTGTGTGTGTGTGTGTGTGTGTGTTGGGGAGCAGGCCTGTGTGCCCCAACTGGGGATCGCCCCGCAACCCTATGTGCCCTGACCGGAATCGAACCCATGACCTCTTGTTCTATGGGTCAATGCTCCAACCAACTGAGCCACACTGACCAGGGCTTTATATATACATTTTTTCCATGTTTCTAAGCTGTAGGGTACGGACCCGTCTGAGACACCTCCAGTGGCCATGCCTCGGAGCAGCCTTGCCACTCTGCAGGCTCCCGAAATGCAGACCCACACCCTGTGACCCCTCTCAGCGATCACCAAGACGTCAGGGTGGAAAGGGGGACCCACGAGCCACGTCTTCCTCCTGGGACCCCGCTGTCTGACCCGAACCGGCCCGTGGGCCTGGGCTTCTCTGTCCATCTCCCTCAGCGCCTGGTCGAGGAGGCCCTTTGCCCCGAGCACCTGCGCCAAGCCCGCCCCACCCTCCAGCCTGGAGTTCCCCAGAAGCCACGCTCCAACTGCCCCTGCCACCCGCAGCCCAAGGGCCCTCCCCAGCTCCCTCCCCACGACCCCGTCCACGCCCAGCAAGCTGGTGTAGCGTCCCAGAGTCCCCCCCCCCACTTTCTTCCCTCTGACCCTTCCACCTCCTTGCTCCCCGTCAAGGTGGGGGCTCTGGGCCCCTGGCCTCGGGGAGATACGGACAGGGCGCACTGTCCCAGCCCTCCCTCCCTGGGACAAGAGAGGACCCAGGGCCCAGGGTGGCCGCGGAGATAAGGCCCGTCCGCAGCACTGTCTGGGGCCCCCAGCAGGCCCGCGGCACCGTGGGGACTGCGCTGCCTCATGCTCCTCAAAGGCCTGCTTCACCCCTAGTCGTGGCCCAGGGGCCGCGCCCAGGACCTGGCCCTGCTGAGGCCCCCCCTCGGACACAGGGTTCCGAGCGCCACCCCCAACCCGGAGCACGAGGCAGGGCGGGTTCCACCAGAGAAGCAGAGCCAGTTGGGGGTCGGGGGGGCGCGTGTGAGCATGTGCGTGGGTATGAATGTGTATACGAGTCACAGGTATTTATGTGTGTGTGCGTGTACACACAGATACACATAGATACGTGTGTGTGTGTGTGCTGTAGAAGCCAATTCCAAGTCTTTTGGGGTCTAATCTCACACATGTGAGGTTAACATCAGACAGACAGACAGACAGAGAGTGATTGGCCGAGTGGGGGAGTGGACTGCACGACTGCTGGGCTGGGCAGGCAAGTCCGCAGGGCCGGCGGCTGACCCTCTGGGGCCGGGCTGCCGCCGCAGCCCCCGGGCGGGACCCCTCCTGCTCCGGGGGCAGCTCTGCTGTGTCCTTACGGCCCTTCCCTGGCCGGGGGAGGCCCACCGCACTCTCAGGGGCGGTCCGTACCTCCAGGCCCCTGACTGCCGAGCTGACCACACGGACGGGATCCCTTCACAGCACCCCCAGGTCAGTGCACAGCTCAACACCTGGGGGCGAGAGCCTGGCCGGCGCGGCCTGCAGAATTGGCTGCCACACGCAGGGGCAGGGCTCCCGCATGCTGGTGGGCAGAGGCGAGGACAGGTCTCAGCCTGGACACCACCATCTCCAGGTGCCATCCCCCCGACCCCTGCCCGGGCCATCACCCTGGTTGCGCCCTTGTTGCTCTGGCGCCTCGCTCTTTCGGCTGGCTTGGGGGGTGGGTTCTGGGGCTGCAGAGCGGGCTCCCGGGCCCCAGGGCCTTCCCAGAGACACACGCCCTCCGCTCCCCTCCTCTCAGGACTCCGCGGAAGGACCTCTGACCAAGCCCAGGGCACCCCTGTCCTCCGACCGGCCCTTGCTCGTGGCCTCCGGGCCACTGCCTTCACCTGCCCACAGGGGAGGGGCAGCCGGGGCCCAGTCTGCACAGGTCAGAGGAACGGGACGGCGGGTGGGGCCTGACTCCAAAGTCCTTCCCTCCCCACCTGCCGCCTGAAGATAAGGCCGAGACCGAAACTCGTCCCCATCCCCGAGGGAAGGAATGCTTCCAGTCCCACCCGCCCCCTGCCTGCAGCTCACTGCCTTATCTGGGCAGCTGACCTTCAGCGTCTGCAGGTGGTCACGAGCTAGGGGGAGGGACGCCCGGCGGGGGGCCGGGGCTGGCTCCCGCCGGCTGACTGTGCGCCCCTCCTCAAGTCCGAGCCCCCTGATGTCATGTTGTAGCGTGAAGTCAGCTGCGTGGGGGCATTCGCACACGGAATCGGTGCACCCGATGAACAAGCCCCCCCCCTCACCCAGAGGGGCGCTGGTCAAACAGGACGTCCCCCCCGGAGGGGCTCAGAGAGCGTGTCTTCCTGCTGGGTGGGGGTGGGGGTGGGGGTCAGTCACCTGCTGTTAAGTAACAACCCCCACCCCCCAAAAACCCTTAGCGACTTAAAGTGACAGTGGCTCATTGTCTCTCACGATCCTGTGGGTGGACGAGCTGGTTCTCCTGCTCCGTGCGGCGTTGGCTGCGGCCACCGTCACGGCCGCACTCACTCGGCCCTTCTCCCCCGCAGGGCAGCCTGGCTCCCCCACGGCATGAGGGCGCGTTCCAGGGCAGCCGGACGGCAGAGGCCGCCCGGTCTCCTGAGGTCAGGCCCGGACCTGGCCCGCGTCCGTTCCGCCAGGTTCTGTCGGGCACACACGTCCCAGGGCCCGTCCAGACCCGGCAGGCGGGCCCTACAGAAGATCACCGGCAGGTGTGCTCCCCGGGGCCGCCACGCGAAGGCCGGGCCCAGACTTGGGGAGGGGAGGGCCCCAAATTCCTCGCAGCACGGGCACGAGTCCTGGTGCGGCTCCAGGCCGGGCCACGGGGGCTCCCCCACGTCCCCCCACCTGCTGTTCACGGGGGCCTGGGGGGCTGCCGTGACCGGACCGGGCCCTGTTCGGAGGGGAAGGCGCAGGGGCTCAGAACGGACTTCTCGGATGGAAGCTGGCCCTGGACGGGACGGGACCGGCGGTGGGGGCTCGTCAACACATCTCACAACGTAAGAGACTCAGTGTGCGGGGCGTACACATTTGCGCAGCTTTCTAGAAAAGTCACTTGGCCACGGGTGTCAGGAACTTCACAACCCCCGTATCTTTTGAGCTGATCGCTGCTCCTGGGAGTCTAACTTAAGGGACTAGTCAGAAACGGGGGGAGAAAGCGCTTCTCTCAGCGCCCATCAGAACTGGAAAACCACCTGAACACCCCCCCCCCCGCCCCCGAGGACGGGCTCGTGGGACCATACCCGAGGCCCTGACGGAGGATTCCGCAGCCGCCACGCAGCTCCAGGCGGCCGCACCGGGGCACGCGCTCCTGGGTCTCAGGTGCCGGGTGCTGCCTCGTGGCCTCTGGCCTCCCAGTCCCGGTGCAGCCCTGCGGGGAGCGGACCCTCGGGGCCAGGGAAGGTGCCCCCACCCCCCGCCCCGGTGGGGAGGACGGGCCCTGTGAGGAGCTGGTGAGCTCAGGGACGGGGGCTGGGGGCCTCACCCCGCAGACCGGCTCCAGCCGGTCCCAGCCCCGCGGGCCTCGGCCCGAAGTCCTGGGGCTGTGACCGGACCTCTCTGTGCGCTGGTGCGGCCTTCCGGCCCAAGCAGGAGAAGGGACACAGGGAATGGCCCGGGAGGCTATGTGCCGGCCCATGTGACTCCCGGGAACCTCGGGGGACTGGGATCATCTGGAGGCCGGAGCCGGGCGCGGGGGGAAGGCCGCAGCGTTGCGCCAGGGCGGCTCTGGGCCAGAGCGGCTCCGGGCCAGAGCCAGCGAGAGCGAGGGAGCCGAAGTCCCGCTGGGCCCGACACCCGCAGGCCGGCCCCTCCCTGGGAAAGCTGCCCACTCCCGTGCAGGCCTGGCTGGCTCCCGGTCTCCTGGGCGGGCCGGTGGCCCCACTGCAGCCGCCGCCGCCCTCTCGCCTCTGAGCCCGGCTTCTCCAGCTCGGGCCAGGCTGGCTAGCAGGCAAGCTTCCTGGGAGCAGAGAGCCAAGCAGAGGGGTGGTGGGCTAGGGTCTGGTGGGTGGGGGCCTCCCAGGGGCTCCCTGTGCCCCAGAGGCAGAGGGCCTCCGGGGACAGAAAGGAGAGAGGCCCCCGGGGCCGCACGCTCAGTTTCAGCTCCGTCAACCCCAAAGCTCCCTCGAGCCCCTTTGTGACACCCCTCTTGCCCCTCCCGCTCGGCCCCACCCCTCCCAGGCAATGGCGGGTCTTCCTCCCTCCCTTCCTCCCTTTTAATAAGTCATTAAAAATAATGACTTATTTTTAACGCCAGCATTGCGCGTGAGGACCACAGAAGCCCGTCCGGGCACAGCAGGGTGTTGGACTGAGCAGTGGGCCCGGTTCACGCCCCTCGGCAGGCGCTTCCCGGGTGTAGGAGTGACGCTGCACCCAGGACGCACACTCGGCACCGAAACTCAGGGTTCGCTTCCTCCCTCTGTCACCGTGGGGCGCGTTGCGCTTCCCAGAGCTTTCTGTGAGTGGAGTCATAGCGCATACACCCCCTTCCGCCCGGCTTGTTCAGCTCAGCACAGCTGTGCTGTGATTTATCCACGTGTCGGGTGTGTCGGTAGTTCTTTCCTCTCACTGCAGAGCGGTGCCCCAGGGTGGTCTTCCGCTCTGAGGATGTCTTACCCGCGAGCCCACAGCCAGGGTGACAGCCGGCCGCCTGGACGCCCACCGCGGGGGCAGAGCGGGTGGAGCGGCCTCGGGGCCCCAGGCGCGGAGACCCGTGCTTGTCGGGCCTGCCCGGTGCTTCCCGCGGGCCCTGCCAGCGAGGCTGGCTGCAGTGGGCCTGACTCAGCCACCCTGAGCGAGGTGCTGTCCCATGGGCATGGGCTGCGACGGTCTGAAAGGACCGTCCAGCCTCAGGCTGCCTGAGGAGGGACGACTGCTGGGACACACGAGGGCCGAGCCAAAGGCCGCAGCGGAGAGGCTGGACAGCGGCAAGTGTTGGGGGCTTTGAGAGGCTCCATCCGACCTGCCCCCCGGGGGGCCCAGGAGGGCTGCACCCAGGGACGGGGCTGTTCCCTCCGAGTCTCTGCTCTGCCCGACCCGGGGCTCCGGCCAGCAGGCAGTGCGGGCTAGGGTGGCGCTGGGGGCCCCCCACCCCACGGAGCCCCTCACAAGGACTGGGAGGCTCACCGGCCCCGTGTGCTTCCAGAAGTCTCTGCCCACTCTCGACCCCTCACTAGGCTGAGGACGGATTTCAGGGTCTGCGACCCAGGGGCGCTGGAATTCGGACGCGACAGAAGTCTCACCCTCTTGCACCCTGTCACACCCTGTCACACCCTCACACACCCTGTCACACTCACACCCTCTCACACCCCGACGGCAGCCCGCAGCTGGGATGCCAGTCCTGCCCTTGGAAAGCAGAGCTGGGAGGCACCAGATGCCCCTCAAGCGCCCAGCCCCGTCGCAGGTGGAGGGGCGGGAAGGAAAGCAGCCAGCAGCCAGGGCCCCGGGCTGGGAGGGGAGAGGGGACCACCCACCGCTGCATCTGAGCTGGGCACACTCTGCTTGGAGGACAGATTCTGCAAGGATCAACGTGGAAAAAGGGGAGTCCGCTATGGGGACTGGGGTGGACACTCGCGGGGACACCCAGGGACTGCAGACAGCTGGCGCCGTGCGGCCTGGGGGAGGGCGGGGAGGTGCCCCGGCTCTGTGTGTGTCTGCCGGAGCCTCTCTGAGCGAGGTGGCGATCGTGACCCCTGCCCTCCCCCGGTTTCTCCCCCAGGTCCCTCCTGAGGAGGCGCTCCTGTGCCTAGGCCACCCTCGTCCCCGAGCTGCAGGCCCCCAGCCCACGGGGGTGAGGGACGTTTGCATCCTCCCAGCACCACAGAGGCCAGCGGGGCGGGTGTGCTGTGTGTGAGCACCGGTGACGGGCCTGGGTGTGGCTCCCAGGCTCCCCTCGCGCCCCCTCTGTGGCCAAAGGACAAGACTGTGGGACGTGGACATGGGAGCGAGAGACCAAGGGCAAACCCAGCTTTCCGGAAGCTGGGCAACCGCAGCAAGGGAGCCGGCGGGCTGCAGGTCCCGGCAGGCTGGGGGCCGCCCCCCTGCACGACTGAGCCGGGGCTCCAGGAAACAGGACCCCCTCACACTCGCCTCGGGGACGGGGTCACCCCCAGACACTGCCCAGAAGCGGGACAGGTGGTCTGCACACCCCCAGAAGGAGCACTCTCTGCCCGTGGGTTTAGGTGCCCGAGGCAGGAGTGGACGGCAGGCTGGGCTCTTGCAGGACGTCCGACACGAGAGGGAACACGTCTGCACCTCCGTGCGGGAGCGTGTCGTTGCTATTGGTTCACGTTTTCAGAGTGGCTTCACTCCGAGCGTTTCCACATTCCCCTCCCCCTACACGTGCACAGCCTCCCCGTGATACGTGTCCCTCACCACGGAGGGACGATTGTCACAGTGACAGCCAAAGGCTGTGGTTTGCATTAGGGGTCGCTCTTGGTGTGGCGTGTTCTGTGGTCCGGCTGCTGAGTGACGTGTGGGCATGTACCCATCACAACACCCGACAGCGCAGGCCCGCCGGGCCCCGCCTGCTTGTCCGGGGCCCCGCAGGCCCCGGCACCGCTCACGGCTCGCTGTCTCCGTGGTCTCGCCCTGTCCGGAGTGTCGCAGAGCGGGGAGTCTCAGATCACGTGGCCTTTCTGGACCGGCTTCTTTCACTCAGCGACGGGCACTCAAGCTCCCTCCGTGCCTGCGCATCACCTCGCAGCTCCCTTTTCGGCGCTGCGTAATATTCCATTGTCTGCACCGACCACAGCCTGCCCTTCCCCCACCTCCACAAGGGCATCTGGGCTGCTTCCCCTGCACGGACCACAGCCTGTCCACCCCCCACCTGCGGAAGGGTGTCTGGGCTGCTTCCCAGTTTGGGTGATTAGGGATGAAGCTGCTGTGAACATCACATCTGTGCGTGGATATCAGCCTTCAGGGCCTTTGGGTAAATGCCACGGAGCAGGGTCGCTGGATCCTGAGAGTTTGTCTAGTTTTTTTTTTTAAGCCGAAATGAAATGTATTGGCTCATGTAACTGAACAAAGAAAGTGAAGCTGAAATGTGGGCTTCAGACAAAGTTTGATCCAGCAACACAAATCATGCTACCAAGAACCTGGTTTCTTTTCACCTTTCTCCTCCGAGTTACGCCACGCTGACTCCAACACTGCACGGCTGTCCCTGCTTGCTCCAGGACCCCCCTGCCTCACAACAGAGCACTAGCCAGCGCCAGATCTTCAGCGTCTTGACATCACACTACCTAAGGAGCTTTCACAGAAGTCCCACCAAATTTCTTCTCCTATCTCAGTGGCCCTGAAGAAGGAACACAGTGATGGTTAAAAGAAGCAATTTGATTTTTAAAAAGATTTTATTTATTTTTAGAGAGAGGGGAAGGGAGAAAGAGAGGGAGAGAAACATCAGTGTGTGGTTGACTCTCCTGTGGCCCCCACTGGGGACCTGGCCCACAACTCAGGCATGTGCCCTGACTGGGAATCGAACTGGTGACTGTTTGGTTCACAGACCCATGTTCAATGCACTGAGCTACATCAGCCAGGGCTGATTATATATATATATTAAAACATTGACATCATCATGATGGAAAAATTTAGAATGCCATTTGCATTGCAATCTCAAGGTTTTATAGTTGAGCATTACTTTCGTTTTGAGTAACACATGACGTAGTGTAGGGCACCACAATGTTTCCAGTGCTCGGAGGTCCCTACAATCTTAATTCAGCCCCGAGAGCCATCAACGCATCTCGCCTCCTCCAGGCGAAGCCTTGATTCCCAGCGCAGCGTTCATCGACGGCAGGCTCACTAGGAAGGGGGGCCGTGAAGAGCTGAACCAGCTGGATGGGTGACGGGCCCCTGGGAGGGCTCCGCCCTGTTCGTGCTTCCGCCCCTTCGCCCGTCCGTGCCGTGGACACGCCCAGAGAGCACCTGCGGAGGAGGCCGGCCTGCCGTCCCCTCGCCAGGCCGATCCTGGACTCCCCCACCTCTGCGGAGGGCGACCAGCTAGAGCTGTGCTGTCCTCTTACACAGGGGTCCCTAAACACATGTGACCTTGGTCCTTGAAATGTAAATTTAGAGTGAGTAGAATTAAAAATTAAGTTCCTTCGTCTTATTAGCCACTCGGTACATGTGGCTGAGGGTCACCACGTTGGACAGGACTGCTCTAGAACATTCTTATTATTGTTGAAAGTTCTGTTGGACAGCCCTGAATTAGAGGATGGGACCGGCTGATGTCCTCTTGCTGGTGTTCACGGTCAACGGGCCGCCCAGCAAGACGGCTTACGGGGTGAGGCAGCGACTGCCGGGAAATTCTACCTGCTCCCGAGTCGTTCCCCCCATTCTCCCCGGACCGAGTTAAATGTCACCTTCTCTGTGCTGACTCACTCCCGCCCTGGGCTTTTCCACCGCAGGCCATACACACACAATATTCCACGTTTGGAGTTAAATGTGGTCACGTATGTTGCAGGCTTCCCCTGTGTTGCCAGCCTTCTGAGGGCAAAGTCTGTCCAGTTTTGTAAGAGGCTGCTGAGCCGTCTCCTGGCGTGGCCCCCACAGGGTGCATCCTCCCCGCCCCCCCCCCCCCAGTTCCTGTGGCGGCCGGTGTCTCCCCGGCACTCGGTGCCGCTGGTGTCCTGGGTTCTGTCATCTGAGTCGCTGTGTAATGGCACCTTCCTGTGTTGAGCTTGCCTTTCCCTGAGGAGAGAGGGTGTGGAGCATCTTGTTCCAAACCGAGGCACCGACCACGTGTTTTCTAGGGAGACTGGAGGAGAGCGGGGAGGCCATCGGTCACCCCAGAAAGAGCATCTTCATGGACACAGCACGGAGGCGTGGAAAGGAGTGGGGCTTTGGGGTTGGGCGTGCTTGTCCCCTCTTCGAGGAGTGGTCTCCCGAGCCTGAGTGTCATCTGAGACACGGGGCGACCTCCCCCCTCCACGGGACCCGGTGAGGATTCATGGGGTGACCCAGCGCCTGGCAGAATTCAGCACACGCTACGGCAGGGATGGGAGTCGAACTGCCCTGGACTGATGTGCTTAAGAAGCAAGACATCGGGACGATGAGCAGACCATTTTTTCAAGGCTACACACACACACGAGTTCACAGAACGGCCGCTGACCATGAAGTTGCACTTCACGCAGGCAGGGGAACAAACGCAGACCAACGTGGTGCGATGTCAGGAGACAGACGCACACTCAGTGGGTGGGCGTGCGAACCGGCCCGCGTGGGGCGGGCACTTGGCCCCGTCTACAGGATACGGAAGGTGGTCTTAGACTCAGCATGCTTCTGCCGAGAACACCTCGTAATTTCCCCTTATAGATACCTGAGGACAGGTGTGGGCGCGTGTTCTGCAGCGATCAGGGCACTGCTCAGGGGATTCTACCCGTGTACCGGGGTTCGAAACAGCCATTCAAGAGAAACCAGGTCCAAGGGAGAGAGATAAATGGGAACATTAAAAAAAAAAAAAAAAAAAAAGGCAGGACGCGGCTTGCAGAACAGTGGGAAGAGTGTGCTGGCGTCTGCACAGCTGGGAGGAATTATCAAAGGTTATCTCTGGGCCATGAGACTGCACGGCAGGAATGTTTCCCTCGGAGGAAAGGTCTCACGGAGCTCTGACATTCCTCCCGGTGGCCTCTGCTTTTTCCTTAGCGTGTGGTACATTCACGATAAAATTAACCTTTGACTAGGAGATTCGAAGGGGGTGCTGGCTAAAATTCAGGACCAAGGGGGCATGTGTGCGTGAGCCGGAACCAGAGCAGAGGAGACCACCGGCTGTCACCTCCCGCCCACGGGGACTGCCCCTGGGTCCCTGGGGAGGGGGGAGGGGGAGGGAGAGGGCAAGACCCAGCTCCACTGACGGTCTGGGTGGCCCCTGTTCGCTCACGCGGGTCAGCACTTGCCGGTGAGATGCAGACGTTGCTAATACTGGGCGACACTCACATGCTCCCAAAAAGGGGAGACCTCGGGGGTATGGCGGTCACAACGGGTAGCACACGCCGCAGTCCTGCCCAGGTGCAGTCCGCTGGCTCACCTGCGGGTCCTCATTCGCCTGCCCCGGGGGCTCCTTCCCGAGGTCTCATGGGCCCCGGAAACCAGCGTTTCCCGAGCCTGGGGTAGGGACTTCAGCTCCACTGCCTGCTGCCTAGCGAGAGACGCTTCCTGCTCCGCGGCTCGCGGGCCACGGCCCTGCTCAGACTCCTCGCTGAGCTGCTTACTTCCCCATCCTCCCTGCGATGCCCGGCTGGTGAGTGGGCTCAGCGGCACCGACCCCCTAGTCAGGACCCAGCCACACCCGGCATCTGCCACGGAGCCAGGGCTGGGCTGGGTGCCAGTGGTCCAGGGACACGAGAGGCGTGGGGAGAGCCGGCAGGGCTCCCTCTGGTCACACCTGGAGCGCTGGATGCTGGGAGAAGGGGCCTGGGGCTGCCCGCTGGGAGGCCATAGGAGCCCCCTGCTCCAGGGGAAAGCCAAGTTTTGAGGCAGAAATTAGGAGCTGATAAAGGGAGAGAGAAATGCAGCAGGAGTCGGGGAGGCAGCAGGTGTGAGGGAACCCGGGAGCTACCCGTGACCTTGGCAATAGCAGAGCCTGGGCAGGGCCCCTGGAGAGGACAGCTGAGAGGCCAAGAGCGCCCCCTCGAGGATTCTTGACTTGAGGCCCAAGGGTCAGGGTGAAACAGACACAGATTGTCGTGGGAAGTCTACTGAGGAGCTTATTTCATTTATTTGTTAGAAATACTGGGCCTGGCCAGAAAGTTCATTTAGGTTTTTTCTGTACACCGTCTCTAGTAGTGCTCAGCTGTCTTTAACTTTGAGACAGTTTTGTTAGTGCATTGTGACAGCTGCCCTATCAGCGTGCGCTTAAGAAAAACTTGGTGAATTTTTTGCGCAGCCATTTTAATATTGACGACGGAAGAAGATACACAACATTTTTGGTGGATTATACTTCATTATTTCGAGGAAGGTAAAAACGCAACTGAAACGCAGAAAAAGACGTGTGCAGTGTGTGGAGCAGGTGCTGTGACTGATTGAACCTGCCAAAAGTGGCTTGCAGAGTTTCTTGGTACTATTGACATTTTGGCCAAATAACTCTCTGCCGTGCGCTGTCCTGTGCACTGGAAGATGTTTAGCAGCACCCCGGCCTCTACCCACTGGAGGCCAACAGCGGGAGAGCGTGGACATACTCAGAATATCCAAATCAGTAAAGTTAATGGTGAAAATGAAAAATGCATCTCCTATTTTTTGGGAAAAAAACTAAGCGAACTTTTCGGCCAACCCAGTATGTTGCCATGTCTATCACAGTTAAGCCCCAGATGACCTGGATGTGCTCACAGGAGCTGTTTGATTTAGAAATTCTGACGAAACAAAACATTGCTGGTAGGGTTTCAATCCACTTTGCTATGCTTTTGAAAACCAAGAACACCAAGGGCTCTGGTCTAACGGCATTCATCCGCAGCGTCAGGGGCCAAACTTCTGTAACGGGGGCATGACGGAGGGCTCCCCACCCGAACAAGTGCTTGGGTCGTTTCGGACACCTGTGAGGGGAAACTGAGGCTCGGAGGAGACCTGAGGGTGCGTGCTGGGGAGGAAGGGGAGGGTGCTAGGAGATCCCCTTCGGCCGTACCATTTCACAACCTCAAAATCTGCCCAACGAACCAAGGAAAGGTCCATTCACACCGAGTAACGGGAAATGACAGATTATGAAATAGACATATAAAATTTAATCCCTTTGGCTTAAAATACATCTTCAAGGATGCCATGAAAAACAATAACAAAATCAACTTCGTAAAACAAAATAGAAAATGTTGTTATACGACCCGTGTCCCATATCTTATCTTAGAAAGCCAGCGATTCAGTTCACACACTTCACAGGATACGTTAACATGAGAATGTAGCTACCCACCCTCCTCTCTCGAACAAGCTCCCTGAACCTGAAGACACCCGTGATTCATGTCAGAAGACGGCGCTTTCCAGCAGTTCCCGTGTGGGAGCGTGTGCACGGAGGGCTCCCCGCCACGGTGGCCCAGGCTCGCGAACCCACGCGCGTGTCCTGCAGGTGCCGTGCACCCGACGGCTAAGGGGCGGGGTCTCCGACGCAGGGCAGGCAGGCCCCGCCCCCAGCGGGATGGCCGGGGTGCCCTGCGGGCCCCGCCCCTGCCCTGCAGCAGTGGCCGTCCGCTCACTGCGTTGGGCGCGTGTGACTCGCCCACGGGCCCGTGTGTCCGCGCACACGGCGCACAGGGTGCACGGGAGTCGCAGCAGCGCTTCCCTTTACTTCATTTGTTGCACAGTGCAGAGACCCAGAACCGACACTCTCAGAAGCCAACAGAACCTGTGGCCGGGGAAGGAAGGCCCGGTCGGGCTGCGGAACGGCGGCCGCAGAGGGGCGATCTGGCGGGTTTTGGGTTCCGGTCTGCCTTGGGGCCGCTGCCAAAAATAACCTTTCACCGGGGCAACGTCCCCAAGGAGGTTCCCACCGCGGCTCCCCACCGCGTGGGCACGGACGCTGTGTTTATATATTATCTATTCATCGGGTGTGTATGTACACATTTACAGACACCGGCCTTCGAGAATGTATTGCACTCATGGACCCTGGAGCGCCCGCGTCACTGACTCACGCGGGCGCCCACTGGAGTTCTTCGGAAGGCAGTCGCTGAGTTAAGACAGTAGCGAGAGAAGACTCAGTGACACGCTGTCTTTGAGTAAACATCTGGGGAGTGACGGAGGCTAAGGGAGGAAGGGTGGACCTTGTGTTCCTGGGACGCCGCTCCCGCTAGCCCGAGGCAGGCGGTCAGGCTGAGCTCAGGCCAGGGCGCGAAGCCCCTGAAAGCCACGCCCACCGCCCTTGCCCAGGCGCGTGGGCCAGCAGGCCGGCGGCCATGGGGCGAGGGAGCGGCCCCGTGTTCTCAGCCTGACCACTGTGCTAGTCACCTGAATAGTCAAGTCACCTGAATCCAGTCCAAGATAATATTGCATGTAACCTGTGATAAAAATACTCTTATAAATAACAGCAGACATCCTACAGGTTCCCAGAGAGTCTGTTAAGTGTCGGAATGAGGTTTTCACTTTAACCCTAAGTATCTGTATCAGAAAAATGTAGTAACAGTCCGTGGGGGTGCGTCATCGGCACACCGCCGTCTCCACACCTGGCGTGGCTCCCAGTGGAGAGGAGACCCTCCCACTGGTGCCCGTGTGTTTGGAAGGCGGCTAACCGGCGACCGGACGGCTTCGCCAACAACGGGACCTATGTGACACCTTCGCTGAACTCGTGGGCACCCGGGGGCCGGGCCGGCCTCAGATCTCCGTGAGGGTGAGCCTGTAGGACCCGCCCACCTCCTCCATCTGCAGCTGGAAGGTGTCCTCGTTGGAGTAGTGCTTCACGATGTTGTCGTCCATGTTGACCAGGATCCTGGAGGGGGGGCAGACAGAGGCGCTCAGTCCCGCCCACTCCGGGGCCAGGCCGGATTCGCGGGCCCCGCCACTCACTAGCTGTGACGTGTGAGGCACTCGCTGAGCCTCGCTGTCCCCAACTGTGATGGGGGGACGATAACCGTGCCTGTCCCACGAGGCCACGGTGAGGCTTAAACAAGGTAAAGTGCTGGTGACAGCGAGGCGCATGTGTGTAGCAGAACACGCCGGCGTGCTCCCTGTTCTGGGTCAGCACGGAGGGATCACCCAGCAGACAGCGGCCACGGCGATAAACGCGGGAGGGCGCAGGAGCAGCCCTTCCCCGGCCCGGCTTCAGCAGGCACGTCGGTGACGTTCACCTGTCTGAAGCCACAGCCCCCCACAGACGGCCTTCCCGGCACCTTATCCCCCAAGTGCCGGCGAACCACCGCCAGGCCCAGCCCTGCCCCCCGGGGCCCGTCTACAAGGTTCCCATCGGGCTTTGAGTTTACACGATGATGCCTTTCGTACATGTGCCGAACAGCACAGACACTCAGACAAAACGGAACTAAATGGGTTAATTTCTGGAGGAGGGTGCGCTGCCCTGGGGCCGAAAACGGGGCCCCAGGCAGGAGTGCGGGGCGGCAGGAGCCCCGGCCCTGCAGCTGGTCGGGACTCAGCCCGACTCCAAGGCCTCCGCACTGACCAGGCCTGGTCTCCGGCGAGCCTCAGGCTCTGGGCCTGCGCAGCCGCGACCGCCAGCTCTGCACGGTGGCGCCCACCGCAGAGGGCCACTCGCAAGGGGCAGCGCCGGCTGGCGTGGGCGCACGTCTCCCAGTGGGCTCTGGGGCTCGGCGCCACACCACCGCTGCCGCGCATGGGAGGACCCACGAGGGAGGTTTTACTTGAGAGAAAGCCCAGGAGGACGTCTGAGAACGGCGATCGAGGGGCCGATGTAGGAGGGAGCACGCTCTCGCATCCCCGTCTGTTTCCAGACGGGGCGCCGATGCGCGAGGGCGGCAGGGAGCCGTGAGACGCCAGCCTCGGGCGGGCAGCGGGCAGCGGGCAGAACTCACCCTTTCTTACACTTCTTGAATATCTTCCCGATCTTGTCGTGGGGAACGTCGTATTTGTCGGAGATCTGGAAGAGCAATGAAAAACAATCACGGAAGGTCGCGCCGATGGCTTTAACACGCAAACGGCATCGATATGGGGGTGGGGCAGCCGCTCGGCTCCGCTCTGCAGCAGTGCGCATGCGCAAAGGCGCACGGGCGCCCCAGCCCGCACCGGGGGAGGGGCGGCGCCTGCCTTCCGTGGGGGCTGGGATCAGGGGCTCTATGCCCCCCTAGTTTACAGGCGTCCGCCGCTGATTACATAGTCACAGTTTTCAAGTAATATTTTACAGAACAGTTTTTAAAAAATTTCTGTATTCCAGAGGCAGAGGAAGGAAGTGGGGGCGGGGGGGAGTGAGAGAGAGAGAAACATCCATCAGCTGCCTCCTGTACACGCCCCGACTGGGACGGAACACGAAACCCAGGCACGTGCCTTGACTGGGGATCAGACCCACGACCTTTCGGTTTACGGAACGACCCTCCCGCCGACCGAAGCGCCCTGGGGAGGGCCACAGAGCGGCCGTAATTCACCAAAGATCTGCGCAGGGAGCACAGGGGTGCTCGCCGGCCGCCCCCCACGCACCCCGGTTGTACGCCGGCCCTGCACTCGGGTGTGGTGCACACGGGTGTGGCGGGCGCACTCCTGCTGTGGGGGGGCGGGGCCAGCGCTGCCGCAACCCCACGAGCTGAAGTCCACCGTTTCCCCCGGGTTCGCTCTCCGTGTTGCACGTCCCACAGGTGCCCACAAAGCAGAGTGACACCCACCCACCAGGTCACAGGCACTCACTCCGATCACGCACACAAAGGCCTCACTCTGGAGTCGGGAGGGTTTGAACCAGCTCCGTTCGCTCTTAGAGAGCGGGCGGCCTCTCTGACCCGCAGGCCCCCCCCGCCGACCCCCCCGCTCAGTACAGCGAGACTCTCCCCGCACACCCCACAGGCAGACGGGAGGGTCCCGGTGTGCCCAGCACCACGCAGCTGTGAATTCCAGATGTGGGGTTACGGGAGGACAGAGCAGTTCCGTGTCTCACCGCCTGGGAGGAGCACCCCCGTCCCTGACCCCCCACTGGGGGCCACAGGGGCCCCAGAGGGGTCAGGACAACAGAGACCATGGGGGGGGGGGCGCGGCCCATGGAACCTGCTCGGTGGGGCTCCAGTTCAAGGGGCGTCACACGGCGCACACTCACCGCCTCCACCAGGCCCTTCAGAGACGGGCTCCTGAGCATCAGGGCGTCGAAGACCTCTTCCGACTCCTTGCGCACGTAGAGCAGCACTGATCCCGTCGGGGGCGGGGGGGGGCGGACAAGAAAGAAGGACGCAGTTTACTCAGGGGAGCAAAACAAGCAAATGGACCCCGGGTGCCAGGCAGAGCAAAGAGGGGCGTCCGTCCATCCACCCCGAGGGTGGTACCCGCCCCGGTGCAATGCCTGGCCCGAGGAACTCTGCCGGCAGGGCGCTCCAGCCCACGCCCGGGCCGGTCCGATGCAAAAGTAGTCAGGAGGTCAAACTGGGTGGGATCGGTCTGAGCCATTTACGCATCTGACAGATGCACAGCTGCTTCCCAGTGAGAGCTGCCCCCAGGAAACCAGCCAACACACCTCTCTTCGGTTCTTCCGTCCGGGCCAGCTTGGCAGGGGTCTGGATCACAAAGTCGTCCTCGGATCCGAAGGGCCCCCTTTTCAAGGTCAGCCTGCAGGAGCAAAGGCGCGATCAGTGACTGCCACCGAAGGTCCTCGCAGGAACGGAGAGACTCGGGGTACGTCACTGAGCTTTAGACTTAAAACGCCCTCCGTCCTGTACCTGCTCCAGCTTCCTTACCTTGTGGGCGCCGACCTGAGGCCCAGAGGAAGATGGGGCTGACCAGGGCCCCGCCGCTCAGGGGCAGGGCCGGGGGCCCCCCCAGGCGGCCGGCCAGACGCACCCCCCCTTGCTCTGACACCGGCTTACGCTGCCCTCCCAGAACCAACAGCTCCTCTTTGGGAACGCTTTCACGGAGGAGGTGGAATTGGAAACGCATGTAAAGGTGCCGGCAGAGCACGGGCGTGCCAAGGGATGGAGGGAGTGTGAGCAGGGACACGCAGAGCCAGGCGGGCAGAGGCCGACCGATCCCCAGGAAGCCCACGCCAGCGGGGCGGGCGGGCTCTCGGGCTCGGTTTCTCGACCACCCGGCTCTAAGGGCCTTGGATTCTCTGTCGTGGGCATCAGGGAACCTGGGAGGCGTGAGTGCAGTGGTCGCGGGGGGGGGGGGTAGGGGCTCCAGGACCCCCGGGGAAAAGGGACCAGGGAGCAGACTTCGGGGACGGTGCTGGCACATGGCCCCGGAGGGTGCACACTCAGGGGTCGGTGCAGGGGAACGAGGGGTGGCAGACCAGGCGCAGAAGGAGAGCGAGGAAGGGGAGGAAGGGGAGGAAGGGTTGGCGCGGGCATGGCCGGCCGTCACAGGCTGACACAGCGGGCGCCGCCGCTGTGAGGGAGGGTCAGTGCGGGCGAGCCAGAAAGCAAGGCGAGTGGCAGCACCGGACTCCAGCTCGCTGCCTAGGAAACTGGGAGCTACGAGCCCACACTGACACCAGTAAATGAGCAAATCGCAAGCCGGACGAGGGGTGAGACGTTCGGGAAGCTGCAGAGCGCCTTCCCCACAGACGGAGAGAGCGAGCGTGACCTCGCCGCAGAGAAGCCCGGTGACGTCACCTTCACCGAGACAGCAGGGGGACCCCGTTAGTGACGGGGTGGACGGGCAAGACACAGAGAAGACGGACACTCCTGCCCAGATGCCTCATGGAACCGAACTGAACCGGATCGAAGCACAAGGCAGCAATGGACGGACCCAGACTGCGGGACGCTCTACAGATCAACTGGCTGGTAATCCTCAGACCCTCAGCTCAGGGGGCCGACGGAGCTGAGGGAGAAACGGCCCCTAAACACATGGCCAGGCCCTTTCAGACCCGACGCCGTCACGGGGAACAGCTGGCACCACGAGGGGGGCATGCGCCAGGGCTGCCGCAGCAGTGCCTTGGGGTCCGTGCCCCACTCTGGACTGCGGGCGGCAGAGCGGCCCTGGTCGGTCGCAGGGAACACGCCCCAAGGACACGGGGCTGCTGGGCCCAGGCACCACTGGCTCGGGGAGAACCGAGTTCTCTGCACTGAACTTGCCGCTGTTCTGCAAGTTTCAGATGGTTTCAAAGTAAGAAGACTTATTAAGAGAAAACAAGACAAGTCTTACCCTTCACCCTCCAGTTCTTCTGGGGCAATGGGGAGGACCTGAGAACAAAAACAGGTTGCTTTTCGTGTGTGCGCTCCAAACATGTCAGACCACCGCCGGACGCTTCCCGAAGAAGACGGACCCGACCGAGCTCACTCACCGCCCGGTGGCCTGGTTTCTCACTGACCGGACCCTCAGAGGCCTCCGACCGGCCCGGGCTCCCCCCCAGCCTGGTGGCCCCCAGCCTGGCGGCCCCGAGCCCACCTGAGTGGAGCCCACGCCCCCCTCCCCTGCCGAGCTGCTAGCCCGCTCGGGCACCACAGACCGCAGAGCGGAGGAATCACGACAGAGGCTGGGGACCCCCAAAACCTAAGCTGCTTATTATTTGACCTTCTTAAGGGAAATGTGCCAAAGCTTCTCATTAGAACCGAGCGCACAGCAACGGCTTCCCCTGAGAACTCTAAAAACCCTTCTGTGCGGCGCGCTGCATGGCGGGCTGGCCCCGCCAAGTGACGCCCGAGAGCAGGCTGCTCTGGTCAGGCCCCCCCGCCCTCGTCCCTGCACACCCTGCCTGGAGCCCAGCCTCGCCCCTGCTCGGAGCGGGGCGCCCCTGCTGGTCGGCTGCCGAGGCACAGCTGTCCGTGCACCAGGGGCGACCCCGGGACCAAAGCCATGACCTTCTTTCTCGTGGGGGACACCGGACCCCACGCACTCCAGCCTGTGCTCCCTGCCACTCTAGCCTCTTGTAAATGAGCCGAGTGTAAATGAGCAAATGCACAGAGGGTCCGGCTCGTGGGCTTAGAGCTGCATTTCCGAGTCACGGCTGCCCCACAGCCCGTGCGGCAGGGGCCCCGCCGCCCCGACTGACAGGCCGACAAGATGACCCCCGACGCTGCTCGAGGCTCCCTGAGCTCCGGCTTCCGGCTGCCCAACCCCGTCCGTCTGGAGCCTGCCCTCCCCGCGGCCGCCCGGGACCCGGTTACGTACGTGCGGGCCCCGCTGGAGGTTGGCGAAGTGCACGTCGGGGATGAAGAGCACGGGCTGGGTGTCGAGGTCGATGGAGGGCTTGAAGACCGAGATGTCCACCCGCTTGTGAGAGGGCAGCAGCGGCACTTTGGCATCAGCGACTGGGGAGGCAATGGGGACGGCACGGTCAGCAGCCTGCGGGCGCAGGGGACGACGGCGCGTCCCTGCACGCTGACAGGGCTGACCCGGGCCCCTGGGAGACGCAGGTCACGTCACCCGAGCTCAGGAAAACCGTGTCAAGGAGCACGTCGTTTGCACTGACTGCCCTGAGCCCAACTGCACTTCTCCCAATCAGAGGAGGGCCGCTCCCTTTAGACACACACACACACACACACACAGACATACACACACACACAGACACGGACATACACTCGATCCGGAACGCAGGCCAGGCACAACGCACTTTCGTCTGAGAGGCTGGAACACCGTCACTGCGCAGACACAGCCTGGACGGGACTCCACCCCGGCCCCAGCCTCGTTAGATAACTCCCATTCCGACAGCAGTGCCCTCTCCCGCCTCCAACACACACCTTCCCTTCACACCTGCAACCTCAGACCCGGCCCTCGACCCTCGGGGGGACTCGGAGTTCGAGCCCCTGCCCTGGTGTCCATTCATGAAATCACAGCGGCTGTGTCCCGCCCCGCCGTCTGGCCCTGCGGCGCCCAGGGTGCGCCCCCTGGTCAGCCAGCGGCTCCCTGAGTACTCTCTCGGGAGCTGGCCCTCCGCGGCCGTGAGTGACCCTGGCTAAGCGCCGGTGGGCTGGATGCCAGCAGCCCGAGTCCTGCAGACAAGGCGCCAAGGCACAGAACCCCATCTTTTCCTTTTAGTAGATAGACAGGGTTTTGTGAGCATGGAATAAAAGAGAGAGAGAGAGAGAGAGAGAGGGAGAGAGCGCGCGCACTTTCGTGGCGAAGTGTCCAAACAGAGATTCCGCAAACGCTAGAATACAATGTGTGAGAAGACCGCTCCCTCGGAACTGAGACCCCCTGGATTCCCACGGGTGCCGTTCCTCCTGAAAGTCCAGGCGAGTCCCCGTGTTACCGTCGGCTGTTCGGGAGGAACGGGCCTACTTTCCAGGACGGCAGCAGCGACCTGAGCCAGACCCAACGGCCGAAACAGCCTGAACTCCGGAGAAAAGCAAGACTCCTCCCTGGCACTCCCCAGGATGTGACTTAGCGCGGCCGCCCCTCTGTACTGCATCTGGGAAGGGGGCAACGCCACCGCCCCCCCAGAGCGAGCCCGCAATGGCCTCCATCTCTCCCGTCTCCCGCCGGAACCCTTGGGCCCCGCTCTGAAGGGACAAGGTCGGAAACGGCCGCAGGCCACCAGGCTACTTACAGGCGGTCAACTGGGAGCTGGGGTCAGTGCACTTGCCTTTTCTCTTGCTCTGCTTGCGTTCTTCGTCCCTGATTTTCCGTTCGGCTCCCTGCGGGTCAAGACCAGACGAGACAACACGTGACTGGTTGGATCTGACCCTCTTCACGATATTCAGCCCTGACCCTGAGATGGGGGTGGGGACGTCTCCTCCGTGGACACAGATTCCGTGACCCACCATGGCCTTATCCCAGCCGTGTCTTCTAAAAAGCCTGTTCTTAAAACCACCTCTCACTCTGCGACATCACGGAGGGACACAGACCAGGTTCACCCCCACCCAGGAGCCGCTGAGACGTCGACCCCCACAAGATGCGGGGAAGGATTTCTGAGGCCCTGGCCACAGGCCACGAACAGCAACCCCCTGAGGAGAGGGGACAGCGAGGCGAGCTCCGGGGGTCCCGCAGACACCGTCCGATTTTCAGGCTGTGGCGGGGGTGGGGGGTGATGCCTGGTGGTCTCGACCCAGGTTCCCTGGGCTGAGCAGACGGGGCTCCAAGTCCAGAGGTGGCCGGGCAGCGGCCCCAGCAGCACGTGGGAGCCGAGAGACACCGCCCGGACCCTACCAGACAGGCTCACCAAAGTGTCCTTTATCCATGGAAATAACACGAGTATTTCCTCCCTATACAACGTGACCTCGTACTATTTTACGTTAACCACTACGTTCACGGTGAACTTCGTGAGAAGACCCCAGTCGTCCTCTGCGGGGAAGGGCCCGCCTCGCCCCCGCCCCGCCGTGCCCCAAGCGCCCCGCCTGACCGCCGGCCTCACCTTGTCGCAGAAGACCTTGATCTGGCAGTAGGCGCGGTGTGCGGGCTTGTTGCTGCGGTTGCTGTAGCTGTAGGTGTCGATCTGGATGTTGAGGGGCAGCCCCTTCACGCCCTTCTGCGAGGAGAAGTCTGTGCTCAGGCAGTTCACGGAGATGAACACCTGCGGGGAGAAGGTCCGTGAGCCCGGACGCGGGGGCGGACACCCCCGCCCCGCTCGTGAAAATGACGACGTCCTCCTCGAAATCACTCAGGTTTGCTGCCAACGTGGGGGCAGCTCTGCATTTCAAAGAAAATTTGCCAAGACAAAGGGCTCATTTTAAAGCTACTTGCAGGCACGGCAGTGGCAGCTTTCAAGGAACACTGGGCGGTGGCGTTGAAATGCCGTCCGTCTCCGCTTCCAGAACCCCCCCTGAATCCCCCTCGGCGGGCCAGCTGTCTTTCCTGGCGTCCCTGTGAAATGCGGACCGACAGCTCAGGTTTCTGTGCAGCTGTTTTATAACTCAGTCCGAGCTCTCTGGGAAGCTGCCTGCATTTAGGTCTGTACCACTGCTTAGTGCCACCTGCAGCACCCGGTGTCCGAATGTTCCGGAATTTATGTGCTCAGTGAGCTGCCTTACTAAAGTGGCACCACAGAGTCGCAGGTACACCCTTGCGTGGCAGGTAAACACGCTCCGGTTCCCTCCCGTCTTTGTGGTTCTGGATGTTAACCTCCCCACACATGGTCACAGCGCTTCCGAGCTCCCGTGCAACTATTTAGTAGTGTTTTAAAAGATTTTACTTATTTATTCTTGCAGAGAGGGGAAAGGAGGCAGAAAGAGAGGGAGGAAAACATCGATAGTTACGTCTTGCACGTGTCTCGACCCCAGGCCTGTGCCCTGACCAGGAGTCAATCCAGCAGCCTGTCGCGGTGCGGGAAGACGCCCAACCACGGAGCCACACCACACCTGTCAGGGCTCAACTGCTCGGTTTCCGAATTTATCTCTGGTGCGCGAGCACCACACAGTGGCCGTCACTGGAATTACAGTTTTTGAACCAGGCTGGCTCATTTCAAAGCCCTGAGACCTTCCCGACCCCAGGGCCACAGCCCCTCAGCCCTGACAACCGAGAGCAGATCCCCCGCGGCAGAGTGGGCGTCCTGGCTGAGCCAAGACCCAGCCGGGGATCGGTTTCATCGAGTCAGAAAAGGGGGACAACGTAAGATAAGAGAAGGGAGTGGGAAGAGGGCAAGGAGATAACAGGATACATCATCACAAACACACAGAATGCTCTCTGGAAGCTGAAACAGCTTTATTCCTGCTGCAGTCTGTACGCTGCCGCTCACTGGGACACGCCTAGAGCATCGTAAAAGGCTGAGAACTTATTCAAGTCAGCGGATCTGAAATCCACTGATCATCTTGCCCCTCCCTCTCTCCACCCAGACCCCACTCCCGGGGCACCCTTCGAAGGTGTGGTCCAGCCCCGCCTCTCTGGTCCCAGCCCTCTCTGGTCACCTCCGCAGAATGTCCCGTCACCCCAGACTGGAGTCAGGGGGCCCACAGCAGTGACCCTGCTCACTGAGGCCCTGGTGTGGTGGGGCCCGTCCGGCACGTCACCCCCAGGGTCTCACTCCACATCACCGCAACCCTGAGAGACAGCACCACCCCTTCTTTAGCAGGGCAACACGGAGAGATTTTTTTAAATGAGATTTGATTGATTGATTGATTGATTTTTAGAGAGAGGGGAAGGGAGGGAGAAAGAGACGGAGAGAAACGCTGATGGGCTGCCTCTTGCACACACCCCAACGCAGGCACGTTCCCTGACAGGGAATTGAACCGGCAACCTTTTCACTTTGCGGGATGACGTCCGACCCACTGAGCCCCCCACCAGTCAGGGCTCGACGGAGAGACTTTTTAAACTGTTCATGTAGAAAGCCCAGGACCGGCATTCACATCCAGGACTCCCCCCTTCACACCCTGCTACCTCTCTTTCCCAAACCCACCTTTTACCCGGACCTCCTGGCTCTTCCTCCCCACTGGAAGGGCGGGCCGCCCCTACGCCGCTCGCCTGCATCTCCCTGGCCAGGCCGTGGGTGCCCGGCAGGCTGGGTCCACGCTCTCCGCAGGGCCCCCAGCTCGGTCCCGAGCACAGCGCCCGGTCCAGGTGGCCTGGTCTGGCCTGCTATTTTCCTTTCCATGTAACTCATTTTTTTTTCAGTTAATAAGCAAATTGATTTAATGTTTAAATACTTAAATCTAGATGCACAGGCAAAAAGTGGCACACGTAAATTTCAAATCCGTTATAAAAACTTAGTGCTTTCACGGTGTGCTTTCAAAGAACACTTCACGTACAGTTCAGAAATGCGAGTTAAGGAGACAGTGTATGGAAGAGACAAAAGAAAAACAGAGCCCTGGCTGGCGTAGCTCAGTGGATTGAGCACAGGCTGCGAACCAAAGTGTCACAAGTTTGATTCCCAGTCAGGGCACATGCCTGGGTTGCAGGCCATGATCCCCAGCAATCGCACATTGATGTTTCTCTCTTTCTCTCTCCCTTCCCTCTCTAAAAATAAGTAAATAAAATATTTTTTAAAATCAAGCATTAAAAAAGAAAGAAAGAAAAGAAAAAAGATGACCTTTTCCATTTTTGTCCCTTCCTGCAACCGATTTTGAGGAAAAGTTTGATTTTATTCAAACAATTGTAATACAAATCTCAAAAGACAAGTAACTAATGCTCCTGCCCCAAATCCCCGGGGGAGAAAAACCACCGAGACGAACCACCAGGCAGGTCGAGGACGCTCAGCGCCAGCCCCCCACTCAGCGCCGGCCCCTTTTCCGAGACGGCGCCTCATTCCTGGGCCAGAACTCACGCACGCACAACTTTCCAAGAGAAGTGATTTTGTTTTCAAGCCTCAGTTTGAAAATGAGAGGAAGACAATAAGACTTCCCAGTCCCAACGCTCACAAGCACGGAACCGACACGAAATAAGACCTTGAACTAATCTGCAATGGTTCTTCCGGGAAGCACAGCGGCAGCCGCACTGTGCCGTTTGTGCAGCCGGCTGCTTTCTGCACGCTCGCTCCTCCGAGGGGGGAGAAGGCGGCGGGGGGGGGGGGAGACAGGAGGAGACCGTGTGTTCAAAACACAGGCGGGTCCCTCCCCAGCCAAAGCGAAGGCACACGCAGGACAAAGGTGACAGCCCCCCCGCACGCCCCACCCCCCCGCCCTGAACCAGGCCTCAACTGGGGGCGACGTGCCGGCCGCCTGCAGTCCGCCACGTGGGCTTTGGCAAGCGAGTTTCGCTCATGGGGAGAGACCCCAGACGTGGTTTTCACCCGTCTAATCGCAGCAAGACAGCACTGACAGAGCACTTGGACTTCATCAGTCGGAAGTTACCAGAGTGTAAGCAGCTGCGTCAGAAGCCAGATGCTGGCGCTAACTCAGGCACACCACACCGGGTCACCGTCCAGGGACCCGCACACGGGCTGTTCCCTTCGCCACGCTCGTCACGACAGTCATTCTCTGTCATTCCTCATGTGCAAGGACCAGAGAGTAGTCTTAGTTCCCCCACACCGAGACATTTAGATAGAATCTTACATGTTTTAAAAAAAATGTTGCCCTGGCTGGTGTGGCTCAGTGGATGGAGCGCGGGCCTGCGAACCAAAAGGTCGCCAGTTCGATTCCCGGTCAGGGCACATGCCTGGGCCAGATCCCCAGTAGGGGGCACGAGAGGCAACCACACATGGATGTTTCTCTTCTCTTTCTCTCTCCCTTCCTCTCTCTAAAAAATAAATAAACAAAATCCTTTTTTAAAAAGAGCCAGCCCGAGGAGCTTCCCTGACCGTCCTATCCCTCTGCGGTCACTCCGACGGCTGCACTCACCGGCGCGGCAGTCTCCCCCACAAACCGTGACTTCCCTAGACCTTGGCCGCGTCCGACCGTCTTTGCGTTTCCAGAGCCCCCCCGGCACTGCGCCTGGCCGGCAGGAACGAGCCCTGACGTCCCCCCTACGGCTCCCTGCGTGCCGGCCTGATCGACTAGTTAATCAAGCCCAGAAGGTGCCAGGGGCCGAGCCAGCAGCACAGCAGAGTCCGGCTCCACTGCCCGTCCCTCAGACAGCCCTGGGGCGGTCCCGCTGCCCGCCGCTCAGAGGCGGCCAGGCCGTCGACAAAAGCCCCTCCCTCCGAGGAAGGTCTGGGCCGAAGGCCGTCAGATGTGTGGCGAGTGTCTGTGTTACTCCCAGAGCCCCCAGGGGCCGGCTGAGGTCAGGGGAAGAACGCAGGGCAGGGGGCAGGCGGGGAGGAGCGGGACGCGGGAGGGGCAAGGCCCCGGCCTGAAACCGGCTCCCCTCTCGGAGGGCGGTTCCCCGCGGAGAAAACAAGGACGGAGTCATCGTCACCCTTTCTGTTGCCACAGCCCGGCCTGCCTACCCCACCCACACGCCGCCCCTGGGTTTCTGCCGAGCCAGCCGGGAACCAGTGCCCACGGCGGGGGGGAGCAGAGGTGGGGAGGGGCAGGCAGCCCTGACTGGTTGACTCTGCAGGTCCCTGCACGCTGCCACCCCCCTGTCACTTCCTATAGGCAGGACCTGGTGAACTTGAGGACACTTGGCAGAAGCAGTGATCTGGCACCTGTTGTCCCAAATAAGTAGGATGTTTATTCTGAAATATGCAGAGCCGGGCGCAGGTGCGACACTCGGCAAACACGGCCACATTCCGGCAGCTGCGGGCGCAGAGCGGGACAGGCAGGCCTGTGGGTCCCGGGGGGCTCGGCCGGCGGCGGACTCCCCGTCCCAGTTTCTAATTACATCTCCCACTCTAGAACAGGCTAGACAAGTAAATAAAGTCTTTTTAGAAGGCGAAGGGGACAGTTCCCGAGTGGGTCACTGACGTGCAGAGGTCACCTGCGTTTTCACTAGCGGGACTGGAGGCCGATGACGCGGAGGAGACGTCCCCCAGGGGAGACACCGAGCTCCGAGGCCCCGCAGGGCCCCGGGCCTCTGCTCGGGGTTGGGGGGGGGGCGGCTTCAGTCTCCCCGGAGGGGTCGGGTCAGAGCCGAAGCCCCGCCCCTCGGTGAAACTGGGTGAGGTGACACATTTGGAATGCCACTGGAGATGGCGTTTCCAGGAAGGCGCTGGGAGAAGGAGGGTCGAAGGGACAAGCCGTCCAAGGACCACGTTCTACAGAG